CATTTGTGATCATGGTAAAAATACATGGTGTGGTGGGGTACAGGGGTGGTCATGGTTACATTACATGGTGAGGTGGGGTACAGTGGTGGTCATGGTTATACATTACATAGAGAATTGGGGTACAGTGTCTGTCATGGTTACAATACATGGTAAGGTGGGTGACAGTGGTGGTCATGGTTGATTACATGGTTAGGTGAGGTACATTTGTGATCATGGTAAAAATACATGGTGTGGTGGGGTACAGGGGTGGTCATGGTTACATTACATGGTTAGGTGTGGTACAGTGGTGGTCATGGTTACATCAAATGGGAAGGTGGGGTTCAGTGTTGGTCATGGTTGCATTACATTGTTAGGTGGGGTACAGTGGTGGTCATGGTGTTACCATGACCAACACTGTACCCCCCCTAACCATTTGATGTAACCATGACCACCACTGTACCCCACCTCTCTATGTAATGTTACCATGGTCATGGTAACATTACATGGTTAGGTGGGGTACAGTGGTGGTCTTGGTAACATTACATTGTTAGTTGGGGTGCAGTGGTGGTCATAGTAACATTACATAGAGAATTGGGGTACAGTTTTTGTCATGGTTACAATACATGGTTAAATTGGGTACAGTAGTTGTCATGGTAACATAACATCGAGAATTGGGGTACAGTGTTTGTCATGGTTAGATTACATGATTAGGTGGGGTACAGTGGTTGTCATAGTAATATTACATGGTTAGGTGGGGTACAGTGTTTGTCATAATCATTACATAGTGAGTTGGGGTGCATTGGTGGTCATGGTTACATTACATGGTTAGGTGGAGTACAGTGGTTGTCATGGTAACATAATATGGTTAGGTGGGGTACAGTGATGGTCATGGTTACATTACTTGGTACGGTGGGGTACAGTGGTGGTCATGGTAACATTACATGGTTAGGTGGGATACAGTGGTTGTCATGGTTACTTTACATGGTGAGGTTGGGTACAGTGATGGTCATGGTAACATTACATGGTTAGGTGGGGTACAGTGGTTGTCATGGTAACATTACATGGTTAGGTGGGGTACAGTGACGGTCATGGTTACATTACTTGGTACGGTGGGGTACAGATGTGGTCATGGTAACATTACATGGTTAGGTGGGATACAGTGGTTGTCATGGTTACCTTACATGGTTAGGTGGGGTACAGTGGTTGTCATGGTTTCTTTACATGGTTCGGTGGGGTTCAGTGGTTGTCATGGTAACATTACATGGTGAGGTGGGGTACAGTTGTGGTCATGGTTACATTACATGGTTAGGTGGGATACAGTGGTTTTCATGGTTACTTTACATGGTTAGGTGGGGTACAGTGGTTGTCATGGTTACTTTACATGGTTAGGGGGGGTACAGTGGTTGTCATGGTAACATTACATGGTTAGGTTGGGTACAGTGGTGGTCATGGTTACTTTACATAGAGAATTGGGGTACAGATGTGGTCATGGTAACATTACATGGTTAGGTGGGGTACAGTGGTGGTCATGGTTACTTTACATAGAGAATTGGGATACAGTGTTTGTCATGGTTACTTTACATAGAGAATTGGGGTACCGTGTTTGTCATAACCAGTACATAGTGAGGTGGTGTGCATTGGTGGTCATTGTTACATTACATGGTAGGGGGGGGTACAGTTGTTGTCTTACATTACATGGTAGGGGGGGGTACAGTTGTTGTCTTACATTACATGGTAGGGGGGGGTACAGTTGTTGTAATGGTAACATTACATAGATAATTGGGGTACAGTGTCTGTCATAGTTACTTTTCATAGAGAAATGGGGTACAGTTCTTGTCATGGTACCCTTACATGGTACGGTGAGGTACAGTGATGGTCATGGTAACATAGCATGTTTAGACGGGTTGCAGTGTTTGTCATAGCTACTTTACATAGAGACCATGTATTGTAACCATGACAAACGCTGTACCCCAATTCTCGATGTTATGTTACCATCACCACCCGTACCATGTCATGTAACCATGACCACATCTGTCCCCCACCTAACCATGTTATGTTAACATGACCACCACTGTAACCGACAAACACTGTACCCGAATTCTCTATGTAAAGCAACTATGACAAAAACTGTACCCCAATTCCCTATGTAAAGTAACTTTGACAAACACTGTAACCCAATTCTCTATGTAGAGTAACCATGACAAACACTGCATCCCAATCCTCTATGTAAGGTAACTATGACAAACGCTGTAACCCGTCTAAAAATGTTATGTTACAATGACAACCACTTTACCCCACCTCAATATGTAATGTAACCATCACCACCAATGCACCCCAAGTAACCATGTAATGTACCCATGACCACCAATGCACCCCAACTCACTATGTAATGTTTATGACAAACGCTGTAACCCGTCTAAAAATGTTATGTTACAATGACAACCACTTTACCCCCCCTAACCATGTAAAGTAACCATGCCCACCAATGCACCCCACCTCCCTATGTAATGTTTATGACAAACACTTTACCCCAATTCTCTATGTAGAGTAACCATGACAAACACATGTAATGTTACCATAACAACAACTGTACCCCACCGTACCATGAAATGTAACCATGACCTCCAATGCACCCCACCTCCCTATGTAATGTTTATGACAAACGCTGTACCCCAATTCTATATGTAAGGTAACTATGACAAACAATGTAACCCGTCTAAACGTGTTATGTTACCATGCCCACCACTGTACCCCAACTAACCATGTAATGTGTAACCATGACAACCACTGTAACCAGTCTAAACATGTTATGTTAGCATGACCACCACTGTGCCCGACAAACACTGTAACCTGTCTAAACATGTTATTTTACCATGACGACCACTGTACTCCACCTAACCATGTATTGTAACCATGACAAACGCTGTAACCCGTCTAAACGTGTTATGTTACCATGACCACCAACCAATGTACCTCACCTAACCATGTAACGTTACCATGACCACCACTCTACCCCACCGTACCAAGTAATGTAACCATGACCGTAACCATGACCATCACTTCACTCCACGTAACAATGTAATGTTACCAAGACCACCACTGTACCCCATCTAAACATTAATGTAACCATGACGACCTCTGTACCCCGTCTAAACATGTGATGTTACCATGACCACATCTGTCCCCCACCGTACCATGAAATGTAACCATGACCAACACTGTACCCCACCTACCCATGTAATGTTACCAAGACCACCACTGTACCCTCTGTGTAATGTTACCATGCCCACCACTGTACCCGACAAACACTGTACCACAATTCTATATGTAAGGTAACTATGACAAACACGGAAACCCGACTAAACATGTTATGTTCCCATGACCACCACTGTCCCCCCCCGTACCATGTTATGTAACCATGACCATCCCTGCACCCCACCTAACCATGTATTGTAACCATGACAAACGCTGTATCCCAATTCTCCATGTAAAGTAACCATGACGACCTCTGTACCCCGTCTAAACTTGTAATGTAACCATGGCCATCACTGTACCCCCCCTCAGCATGTAATGTAACCACGACAAACACTGTAACACGTCTATACATGTTATGTTACCATTACCACCACTGTACCCTCTGTGTAATGTTACCATGACAACCACTTCACCCCACCTAACCATGTATTGTAACCATGACAAAAACTGTTCCCCAATTCTCTATGAAAAGTAACGATGACAAACCCTGTACCCCGTCTAAACTTGTGATGTTACCATGACCATCCCTGTCCCCCCCCACTGTCCCATGTAATGTTACCATGGTCATGGTTACATTACATGGTTAGGTGGGGTGCAGTGATGGTCATGGTTACATTACATGTTTAGACGGGGTACAGTGTTTGTCATGGTTACATTACATGGTTAGGTGGGGTACAGATGTGGTCATGGTAACATTACACAGATAATTGGGGTGCATTGGTGGTCGTGGTTACATTACATGGTTAGGTGAGGTACATTGGTGGTCATGGTTACTTTACATGGTGTGGTTGGGTAGATATGTGGTCATGGTAACATTACACAGATAATTGGGGTACAGTGTTTGTCGTGGTTACATTACATATTGAGGTGGGGTACAGTGGTGGTCATGGTTACATTACATGGTTAGGTGGGGTACAGTGGTTGTCATGGTAACATAGCATAGAGAATTGGGGTACAGTGATGGTCATGGTTACATTACATGGTTAGGTAGGGTACAGTGGTGGTCATGGTAACATTACATAGAGAGTTAGGGTACAGTAGTGGTCATCATTTTATTCGACGGTATTCCCTATGTTTGGCAACGGTTTTTACATGATCATGTGACCTTTAGTTGTTGGAGGACGAAAAACTAAGCAAAGGAAAACATAACATTAAATACGTCAGTCACCAATAACTAATTAGAATGTACGAAACAAAGTGTTCTTGATCCATGTTATCGTTTAGTGCATGATTTAGAAACAGCATTCGCCACTTGACTAATGTATTCAGTAAAAATGTATGTATATATACATGTACACTAGTTCTAATATAAATATCCACTATCAAACGGTAGATATGCAGGTGGCAACCATGGTTTACAGCTGTATACAGTCATTTACAAACCTAAAACGTACATCGTGATCTGATCGCAGACACTATATCTATTGTTTCATGTAAACTAAAGATTGACTCTAATTTTATAATTTCAAAATGTGTCTGGTCAAATTGTTTATCCGTTTTTATTGTTGCGATATAACACCTGTTGTTAACCCGTTGTACCAGTACTGGCATGGAATGTGTTCCACTTTCTTGTGATAAGGGACTGGGACTTCAGAATACTGATAAAGTATGCAGGAACTAAGCAATTCACATGATAGTGCTACGACTATTTTACTTTTCGAAATTAAAGCACCACAAAAAACTCAATGCTTAACATACACGTCTACTGAAATACACAAGTAACAAACCATTCATTAAAAAATATATTTATTTCGAATAAAGCGTGTTTCCGTCCAGGGACTAAACAAACCAAAAGATACTTGGTAAACGCAAAGTTTCAGTGAAATTATGTTCGAAAACTGCACGAAATAAGCCATAACATATTTGTACATGCACAAAAAGAAAAGATGAATTCTGGAGGATCCATGTCGGTCTGTGAAACTGTGAAGGGGATGGCTTTGAAGCTGACACTTATAGAAAGATGTGAATCTCGCGATGCGGGATTGCTGACACCTGACTGTAAAATCGACGTTGCATGATGGCTGTATGCAAAGGACCTGTGAGACCGATGGTGCAGAATTGCTGTAAACCTGATGGTACAGAGGACCTGTGAGCCCAACGGTGCAGGATGGCCGTAAACCTGATGGTGCAGAGGACCTGTGAGCCCGACGGTCCAGGATGACTGTAAACCTGATGGTACAGAGGACCTGTGAGCCCGACGGTCCAGGATGGCCGTAAACCTGATGGTGCAGAGGACCTGTGAGCCCGACGTAGTGGAATGGCAGTAAGCCCGACGGTGCGGGATGAAAGTAAGCCCGACGGTGCGGGATGGCTTTAACCCCACGGTGGGCGGGATGGCTATGGACCTGACTGTGCTGGATGGCTATGAACCCAACGGTGTGGTATGGCTGTGAACCCGACGGTGCAGGAGAGTTTTGAACTTAAAGATGCAAGGTGAATGTGAAGCCGACAAATGGGATGGCTGTATCTGTACGGTGTCTCTCGGTCTATGAGCTAGATGGATCAGCATGTTTGGGTATATAGAATGTAGCGAGAATGTCATTTGCATCTACGGTCCTGAACTGGCTGGGTACGGCATAAGTTGTTTCTGCAAAAGAAATTAGCAACGCTAAGTACGGGCAATTTATGTTTTGGTATTCTAGTAATATACACACTTTTTCGATGGTTCATTTGTGACCGTTTGTAGTTGTAACCCGAGAGCGCTATAGATCATATGGAATTATGTGTTAACATTGTAAGCAAATTTGATAGCGAACTGATATAATTTACTTTATTTTCGATTTGAACTGGCTCAAACAAAAATGCAGTCAGGGTCATGAACCTTAATCTTAACAAACCCAAAATTCTGTCTCTTTATCATCATACTAGAAACATTTCAAGATATTTTGTTTACACTCAACCATTATGTTTGGAACAAAAGGTCCCATTTCGACAGATATAGCCGAACGCCGAGGTTCCTCACTCTATTATCTTTGCCGTGAACAGTTAGTTTTCTAAGAAAGGTGAACCTAATATTTTTTTTGTTTTTCGGGTATTAGGCAAGATGCTAGTAGCTGGTTGGAATAAGTACCTGGCTGGTTCGAGGTGAAAGCAGTCTCACTTTCCGTCAAGACAACGGGAGATTCAACCGCACCCAGGGTGAATGTGTTCCTCTGCCCCTGTGTGTGTTCCATCTCGAGAGCCTGAACACCCTGTTCTGGTATTTGTTCTATCGTGAGAGTATGAACTTCCTTTTCTTGCATTTCTTCCATCTGGAGAATCTGAACGCCGGGTTCCTGTAAGTGGTCCATCTGGATAATTTGTGTTCCCTGTCCCTGTGAGTTTTCGTCCGTCTGTAGAGTCTGATCGTCCTGTTCATATATGTGATCTGTTGGCAGAGTCTGAACGCCTGGCCCCTGGAAGTGCTCCGTCCGAAGGGTTTGATAAGCTAGCTCCTGTGAGTGGTCCATTTGGAGTATTTGAGTAGCCTGTCCCTGTGGTAGGCCAGACTGCGAGATCTGAACGCTATTTCTCAAAAGCTGTATACCGAATGGCGACGTTATGGGCTTCAGAATGCTTTCCTGTCCGTACAAGCTTCCGCAGACCATTGGTATGGTCTGAAAATTGGCGTCTTGTTTGTCAGCGCTCATGGAAGATAAGTTGTGACTTTTGAAAGGTAACGTTATTGGCTGCAGAGAATTCTCCGGTATGGTTATAGGGAACTGGAAAACGCCCGCTTGGTTTGATAGTGATATAGTCTGCAGTGTGTTTTTTGAGCGAACCGGCGCTTTGTTTAGACGTTTCAAAGGTAGCTTCATTGGCTGAAAAGAAGACTGGCCATGTGCATGTCCTTGTCCCTGATGGCAAAACGGCTCCAAAATCTCACTGTTTCCTTCTTTTCGTGCTATCGAGTAGACTCCGTCCTGGTTCTGCAAGGGTTGTGTCTGAAATCATTAAAAAACATTCTTTGTAGACATTGTAAAGAGTCATGTACCCTGTTTATTGCAAAGCATAATGATAATGCTGCACAAAGCTTATTTTACACTTAGTATGGAAAAAGAGGTTTGTTGTGGTAGACAAGAAGGCATGTCTCTGCGCTTCCAATGATTTACTATTTCCTACCAATATTTTTTTTACCCTAAAGAGTACGTTGATATTGTTGTGGGAAACTCTTCCCAAACAATCACTACGACAACAAAGGGTATTCCATTATTGGTCGTGATGCCATTTTAAAGTTATAGATAGACAGTGCCCCTAAAATAACACGGTTAACACTTAACAGCTTTGGATCAAATGCGTGTTCCGTTTCATTAAAGAGCCACACAAATTGGATCACTTCGCCCTTTTCCGTCTCATGCTAGAAGTAACTCGATTTCGTGTGGCATGGAGTCCTATTGTATGTTATAATGTATGTAACTGCGTTCAAATTATCATGTATACCCGTTACAGAGGGTGAAATCTCTATAAAGTACTTTCTCCATACAATCCACATGTTTTTCTTGTTTTATCTTATTCTATTGTAACAGGAAACGAATAGTGTGCTTCCACCGGGGATCGAAACCTCGATCTCCAGGTTCCTAGTCGGACGCTCTACCACTGAGCTATAGGGAAATTCCCCCTAGCTCGAAGCTAGAAGGTGACAGTAATCTTGTATACAATTAAAACATGCTACACTAATCCCCCTTTTTAAAATGTTCGCCCTCGAACACCACAACCCAGGTTCCAAGCTCGTCACCACAGGGAGGGACACGGACACCATTTGTAACAGGGAAGACAATAGTGTGCTTCCATCGGGGATCGAACCCTCGATCTCCAGGTTCCTAGTCGGACGCTCTTCCACTGAGCCAAAGGGAAATTCCCTCTAGCTCGACGCTAGAAGGCGACCGTAATCCTATATGCAATTAAAACCTGCCACACTATCATGGCCCTTTCCCGCGGGATCAGTTCTTTGACAGGAGAATTGGATGGGAAAGTCTTAAATTTTACAGATTGTCATAAACATTTATGGGTAACTTTTAATTCGAATGCAAATTTGGGGGATCATGTAAATGGAATTAACACTTCTGTTATGAAGAAAATTAATGTCTTACGGAAACTGAAACTCTTTTTAAGTAGGGATGCTCTTTTAATAATTTACAAGACTTTTATTTTACACGTTTTAGAATATGCTTGTGAGTTGTGGGACGGTTGCACTGTTTTTGAATCTGAAAAGTTAGAAAAAGCCCAACGTGAAGCTGCTCGCATTATATTAGGACTTCCTTCATATACTCCTATTAATACTTTATATTACGAAACTAGTCTTGAAACTTGACCTAATCGCAGAAAAAGGAGGAAACTTCAACTATTGTATAAGATGCATAATAAATTAACTCCTGATTACTTCAATCATCTTTTGCCGCCTTTATCTGGAGAAAATAATTGTTACGCTTTACGTAACAATAATAACTATAGGATTCCTCCTTTCAGATTATCTCTTACTAATTCTTCTTTTCTGCCTTCTACTCTTCACTATTGAAATAACTTAGACAATTCGGTTCGATCCCTACCCTCTATTAATTCATTCAAATCCTGTTTCACATCAAATATTCAGTCAAGTCCACCTATTTACTTTAAAATCGGAAATCGTAAATGCCCTTTTCAGAGTTAACCTTGTTGAGAGTGCATCTTGTAATTGTGGTCATCCTTGTGAGAATGTCTTTCACAATTTTATGGAATGTCAACTTTTTACAAACGAAAGACGTATTTTGGTTCAAAGTTTGATTAATTTGAATGTTGCGTTAAATTTAGAAATTCTTTTGTTAGTCAATTCACAATTATCCGTGGACCTTAACTCAAACATTTTTAGATCTGTGCAAAACTTTATTAAATCCAGCAAGAGATTTAGAGTTCAAATTGTAATAACAATTGTATATATTTATTGTCATTATTGTAATGTCATTTCAAATGTATATTGGGAGAAGGCGTTGATAAGTTGTTATAACTTGTGCCTAATCCCTTGTCTAATTTTGGCAATAAATATGTTTAAACTAAAAAACGTTCATAGTGCCTGATCAATCATGCGAGAACTCCTCTCCACTCTCCAGACAACACTATTAGAGAACTGTTCCGGAGAGAAAGGGCTATACTAGATTGAGAAGTACTAAGTGCTATTGAAAAATTGGAACATAATAAATAGAAATCAACAACTTCTGTAGACACTTGTTTTATAAACAAACGAAACGCACTGTAAGAATAATAAACAAGAAATAGTAACACTTCATCGGCCTTCTGCTGGTGTTTACGCCACTTAAAACTGAGTTCCGTATGAGGGTATAGTAAAGGACAAACGAGACTGTACTATATGGAACACATGATGATATCATGATCCTAGAAATTAAAGTGTGATATATACTAAATCTTGTTATCACAATCAGCTTGATTGCATTTTTTTTGTATTGCAACGTTTAAAAAATGGCGACATGGAATTTCTTTGTCGTTTTCGTAGATACATTAAATATTTAAATTTAACAGGATTAAATACTGAATTTCCGTTATGATTTTTTCATACAAAGCAATTGATTGGTATGAATTTTTGCTAAAATTACGAAAACATAACTTGACCGAGAAGTGTAAGTGTGATGAACATGTATGTGTATGACGTACATGTATGCGTGTGATGTACATGTATGTGTGTGATGTACATGTATATGTGCCAATATAAAACAATTTTAACAAATACAAAAATGGACGCTCAATATCAAACTCCAGTTCAATATTAAAAAATGCATTTACGTAAATTGTTGAATGTATTTCTTTTACAAATATAACATATGAATATTTTTAATCCCTAAAAAAAGTTTTAAAGATATTGACATTGTTATTTAATTTAATAGGATGGATTTCGGTGGGTTTTTTTGTGTACTGAAAGTGAATTAACCATCATTTTCTAGATTTATTCCAAGGTGCAGGATTTATTTTCTTAAAAAGGGAGAATTGCTGATTACTTCAGGTTTTACTGGGTAGTACAGATTCAACGTTGTTTCATTTACTTACCTTAGAGATTGGGTCTGGAGTCCGATACATGGCGAGATTATTGCTAGCTATCCGGTCTTCCTCCTCTTCTTTTGATCGCCGCTGAACAACGTTCACAAGTTCAGGATAGCCCCTCCGAAAATGGGTGTGACGATACTCCAACAGGTCAGGCCAGTTTTTCCTTGATATTCCCGCAAAGGGTCGTCTTTGAACTTTTTGGAAACCATACAAATTTAATTGACGCACAAGACTGCTTATGTTTTGAGTTTTGAATGTATCAGATTTTCTGCTTAAAAACTCCGTCTGAAATATTTTTCTATTTATGATGAAAGACTTCCCGTCGATGCTCCACGAAATTGCCCCACTGTCACATGTATTTAAAAGCTTCCAAAGCTTCAGAGGAAAGCGTATTTGTGACACAGGTGGCATTAAGAGTTTATCCAAAATGTTTTCCTCAATTTCCTCCATATTATGTTCTTTTTACCTGGAAATCGCGAGTGGTGTTGTTCTCGAACAGTGGCACGTCTTGCGTGGTTAGAAACGAAAGAAAATGTGCAAAAAAATGTTACGTCATTAGGTATCGCAATATGACGTCAACACTTTTTGCGTAGATGAACACATTTATCTCCCTTGATTCATAGCTAAAATCCTGTCAATCTGCCCAAAGTTATCGTTCCTAAACATAATTTCGATATTAGTAAGCGTAACACTACGGTAAAATGGTAATATTAACAGGCTATGCTACATGTAAATATTTGTTATCACGAAAGAAACATTTTTTGGGGAAAGAAACAATAATTGTAGAGTTGTTCTATTCCACTAACAAACTGGTAACATGATCAAATTAAAAATCAAAACTACTTTCCCTGGACAGTTACTTATATATAAAAATGCTATATGAATATGTTACTAGAACGATGCGTCGATGCATATAGTATTATACAGCCGATATATCATCAGAAAAAGAGCTACATGTTTAATGTCAAAATGAAGTATACTACATATGGTTCAGTTTGCAAATCCCTCCTCCCACGTAAAACAAGACTACATTGAATGTATAACATGAGGTGCAACATTGACCACCAGGAGTAAAATTTTACATATAATAGACAGTTGTCCATTAAATTCGGGTGTCGGGCTGATAGATCGGCGTTGAGTAGGCATAGAGTAGGACTGTAACTATTCAATATCCCGGCATAGGAATCGGACAGATATAAGGGTGTTCATCAAGGCCAGGTGTCCATTTATACCGGTGTCTATCATAGATTATGTTTGTTATAATCATGTATCCATTTTAACCAGATACCCCTTTAGTTATTGACGTATAGAAAAATAACAGTAAGGGGGTCTATTATGTTCTGTTCTTTTTTTAACAATAATGTATCCGTTCGTCAGACGTCCATTATTTACAGGTCTTCTTGTTTGATACAATAGAGTGAATTTGATAGTATTGCTGTGAACAGGACCAACATATATTCTTTCGGAATACCAAGTTCTGTTGTCTACAGTTAGTCACAGAATATCGACTTCAGCCTGCTTTGTGTTCCGAGAGATTTTGTTTTCTTGGTGATGAAAGGGAAATAACTCGATGCAATTGATTCATGTGTGGCTGTTACAAAGAGCTGGATTATGTGCCGACTTATGTACAATTTTTTATATAAAAGGTGACGTCACATATTCTATACATATTGTTCTGCTTTTGGAATGTAAAAGGCGACATCAGGTATCCGGCCACATGTTTGTTGAGCCGTATTCAAATGCGTGGTATCAAATAAATAACGTTTCACCTGAAACCTAGTCCTCCATCATCACGTATACTCAATCTGACCCAAAGAAATATCAAATAAAAACACTAACCAAATGCCCGAAAACGTTTTTACGTATGTTTATTTTCAGAGTATTTTTTATATTTCAATAAAAACGTAGTATAAAGAAAACACTTAGACACCCTGTTCACGCTTTTACATATTACTGTTCTCGAGGGTGGTCCATCAAGTGTAATTTTGTTTGAAAGAGAGAGCCGAATGAAAACGAAACACGAGAGAAAAAAGGAGCAGCATGGCCGGAGGAAAGGGAAGAAAAATGGACAGACAAAAAGAGACATATGGTCTAAAAGTAGAAAAAAAAGTTTAAGTACAGTTGACAGTCTAGTCAAAATTAGATCTCCGTATCGCATCCGCTTATTGCTTCCGCGCGAAATATTGATCAGATGCGATGCGAAGATCACATTTTAATTAGTGTGTACCCTGACTATAGAGGTAAGAAGGTCACATTTTAATTAGTGTGTAACCTGGCTATAGAGGTAGGAAGATCACATTTTAATTAGTGTGTACCCTGGCTATAGAGGTAGGAAGATCACATTTTAATTAGTGTGTAACCTGGCTATAGAGGTAGGTAGATCACATTTTAATTAGTGTGTACCCTGGCTATAGAGGTAGGAAGATCACATTTTAATTAGTGTGTAACCTGGCTATAGAGGTAGGTAGATCACATTTTAATTAGTGTGTACCCTGGCTATAGAGGTAGGAAGATCACATTTTAATTAGTGTGTAACCTGGCTATAGAGGTAGGTAGATCACATTTTAATTAGTGTGTACCCTGGCTATAGAGGTAGGAAGATCACATTTTAATTAGTGTGTAACCTGGCTATAGAGGTAGGTAGATCACATTTTAATTAGTGTGTACCCTGGCTATAGAGGTAGGAAGATCACATTTTAATTAGTGTGTAACCTGGCTATAGAGGTAAGAAGGTCACATTTTAATTAGTGTGTACCGGACCCTGGCTATAGAGGTAGGAAGATCACATTTTAATTAGTGTGTACCCTGGCTATAGAGGTAAGAAGATCACATTTTACTTAGTGTGTACCCTGGCTATAGAGGTAAGAAGGTCACATTTAAATTAGTGTGTACCCTGGTTATAGAGGTAAGAAGATCACATTTTAATAAGTGTGTTCCCTGACTATAGAGGTAAGAAGGTCACATTTTAATTAGTGTGTACCCTGGCTATAGAGGTAAGAAGGTCACATTTTAATAAGTGTGTACCCTGGTTATAGAGGTAAGAAGGTCACATTTTGTTTAGTGTACCCTGGTTATAGAGGTAAGAAGATCACATTATAATTAGTGTGTTCCCTGACTATAGAGGTTAGAAGTTCAAATATTTATAATGTTCTTCAATGCCTAATTACTGAAATTATTACACACAATATAATCAGCAGATTGTTTATTCTTGATATAACTATAAGAATTTGCCATTTCAACATCAGTTTGGAAGTTCGTTATATATTTACATGCAAGGTATTTCTTAATATTGTTTTGTGATTTTTTTAAAATTCTAAATCCTAATAATAATACATGTAATTAAATTGTTTAAATCATTTATTACTGTATTTTCTCTCTCTACATTTTGGCCATAAGTGAGTCCACTATGGCCTCGTTGACGAGTTGTGCCGCCTCCACAGCCGTACCCCAGCTCAATGTAACCCCGCTGCCCCCGTGACCGTAATTATGAATAATCTGAAACAAACAACAGAAAACGCAAGCATACCCAGTGAACTTGAGTGAAGGTTGTAATCTGACGTGGGTCGGCTCTTATCAGTGTATTCTAAGTTATACTCGCATTTACATGGTCACATTTTTTTCTAAAACTTTTTTTTTTATCATCCTGTTCATATATGAATTGAGAAAGTACAGTATTTTTTTCATTGAAATTAGGAAGAGATTCCTCCTTTCCCCCTATTTTGCCTGTATTCGTATCTAAAGCTAGGTTGGAAGGGGGAAAGCGTTGAGCTGAAATTATGCTACGGATCCCGTCCCTAACACTGTAGCCGATTTCTGACCCTTTGAGATTTTTTCAGCCTCACCTTCATTTCTCCCTGCGGCAGTTTCAGGGTTTCCCTCTCCAGCCTGACTGGGTATCGGGTCGGCCTAAGACCCACCCATTCGTCCACGACCTTGGCTCCCTGTACATGGTATATAGAGCATTAGTCCAAACATTGTCCGGATTAAGTAACCAGGAAGTAGTATATAAAATGGATAGTAAGACAGATAGCTCCGTAAACAACCTCACCCTTACATTGTGACCTCGTATGTTAACAGAACCTCCATGTACGTCATGCATCCAATTCTGGTTTTCAATATTTTCAGAAATATATAATAATACATATTTTATTAACGTGTCACACATTTTAAAATACATCCATTATAATGCTGACTAAGTAAAATAATACATGAGAGCTATAAAACACTGCAAAGATGCTTCACTAATTAAAAAGATAAACTTATCCTTCGAACTTTATCTTAATTTGATGACATATCAGCATTTATAAAAAGAGATTGCCAGATTTCATCATAACAATCACAATCACATAAAAATGATTTTTGGATTCAACAGAGTTAGAATTACAATATATACAAAGTCTATCACATAATTGTACTGCAGGTTTAATATAGCGGCAAGACTAGTCTCTATACACAATTGCAAACTTCCATGCTGTAGTTTAGCTAACTTGGTCCAAGACTCAAATTGTCTAACCCCAGGATATCAAAGATGACCAGCAGGCAGCTCAGTCGATAAGAGCGATAGTATAACAATCTGAAGTCCAGATTTTGAGTTCCAGTCTTGTCCTGCTGATTTTTCACACTGACGTTGATTACATGTACATTTAGATATCTCAATTCTCAGTTATCAAAATAATTCTACATAACATATCATCCGGTTAATTTGTCATGACATATGAACATGAATATGTCATGACCAAATCAAAGGCACGCGGTAAGCTTTTATTTGTATTAAAAAAGATAGATACAATTTATGAGACAAAAAAATGTACCACAATCATTAACTGTCGACAGTCACTACATACCTGTAAGGATGGCCAAAGTGTATGACACCTTTCAAGGATTCCCGCTCTGTCTCGATGGTCAAACCCGAGACTATAATTCCCCTTCTGTTTACACCCTCCGAGAAGTACATACTCGCCACTATAAACGACGGAAATAAATGGAATTGAGTGTTTTCAAAGTAGGTATGGTATGAAATACCAGTGTAGTTAACTGGTATTAAATTAAATGATCTCTCTGGTAAATGTTATAAGTTAGACTGTTATTGTTGAGTAATGTAACCTACTTTGGTATGAAGTATGTATCGTCCTCTGTGAATACCCATTGCTTTATCCAGGGGGCTTTGACCTAAACAAAAAACAACAAACAATGGTGATCATTATTATGTCTGTTACAATGCAACGATTGTTATTCAATTATCACAGCAGGTAACTTTACGCGGAGCTGTTATTGTGCAATCAATCGTTTATAATCGTTTATAATCAAGGTACAAAGCTGCAACAACATTACCGAGGCACTGGATCCTCTGCTCCGAAAAACCAAACTTAAAAGTGAAACAAAACGCGGCTTTAATACTTTACCAACACATACGTAATGAATGATACTCAATGTACCCTAACAAGCTGTCCCCATTTTGATAACTCGAATGAATACACACGAGGAACGTTTACAATGTATCTGAACAAGTTATACTCGGCTTGTGAATTCCCCAACTAGCACTTATAAAGAATGCTATTCAATGTACCCGAATATGGTGTCGCTGGTCGGAAATTCTCCTTAGTAACAACACTATTTTGTAAGTAATGTTTTTTAGTATATTACCCGTATAATGTGTCCTCGGACGGGATAGATTTCCTGATCATCAAGGAGGTCTCGGCTTCCAAGACCAGTACAGTTGACTACTACATCAAATTGACCATAAAGCTAAAAGAAATTTGTTTATATTTGTTTTAGCTGAAGCAATTTTGTTTATCGAAATTATTCTTTTTTTACAATATTCAATACAAAATGAATTTGGAAACTTGAAAGTCTGTCTCCTGAACATTTTGCAGGGATATAAGGAAATAATATATTATAAAGCTAGTATTCAAAAGAATATTAGCATTCATAGACAAATCAATGTCTATATATCTTAGAAACACAAATGTCAGAACAGAAATTAACTTCTCGAGAAAATAATGTCATTTCAATCCAATCATGATATAGATATACGTACCTCTGACAGATTTTCAATTTTTCGTTTCTCAACTTTTCCACCGTTTGCTTTGAATCTAATTAGAAACGCAACAGGAGTCAATTCTATAGTTTTAGACGGCCATCCTATATATGTTTTATAGTATCGGGTATCTGACTGCTTCACGAAAAACAAATTATGATTCTAAAGAAAAATGTCACTATAGTTGTCCCGATGTATTTTCCATTGTAAAGACAAGAACCAGAAGTGTTGCCATATTAAACTTTGACAATGAAATAGAACCACGGCTTGCCTGAAAACAAATATCATGCTGCTAACACACCCTCTAAAAACTATTGAAATAACTTATAATTGTAAATCTCCTTCTTGTTTGTGAAATGATTCCGAACTGAAGTGCAGACCCACATTAGTGTTAACAGTGACGTCATTACACATACTTGTTCATTAGCCAAGGCATGTATCTCCTCATCTCCGTCAGTACTGTAGTAATGTGGTAGCCGTACCTATAGTGAAATCAAATACAAAACTCATCTTCATTCTGTTTACTGTATACAAATGCATCCGAAATGCATGCAATACTGACGTCAAATCGTAAAAAAGATATAACTTATAGAATACTAGTCTATAGCAATGGAAGACGCTGAAGTATCTTAGATAGAAAGCAGGCCCTGGTGAAAATAATTTCAGAAGTTAAAAAGTGTTGTACAGAAGTCCTTGGTTAAGTAGTTTATTTTTCAACAAGACGTGTGTATACTGGCAAAGGCTTTGGGTTTGTGAATCTTTTGTTACATGTGTCTAAGCTTCATACACAGAGAAATGACTGACATGTTCCTTACTGTTTCCTTACAGATTAAATGTCAATATGTCATACATACTGGTACTGTGTGATCCCGAGGCTGGTCAGTTCACACTGAGACATCTCCCGACAGTTAAATACAATGCTCTCGTATATTGGGTTCTGTCAAAATAAACGAAATATATTTTTGTAATAATAATTTCTATATTCAGTCGCATACAAAATTACTGTCGTGATTTATAAGGAACTGAGGATTTATACTCAAACTGAAATGATCTTTCAACAATTTTGTAAGTACGTGTATATCATTTTAACAAGCATGAAATAATGGCTATTTATAAGTAGAATAAGGGGATACATTTATCATTAAGATATAATACCAAGTGTTCAAAACGGATACATATATTTGGACCTCTACATTTTCTCACATCATATTGTATTGTATTGACGCTTGTAATAACGTAAAATAAATAAAAATACAATACTATCTCAATATAAAGATATCCTAATTAGGTCACCCGGGTGTTTTGCATCAGGCGTGCCCTACGTAACGGATAGACGAGATTGTACTTTTGATCGACAGTTCCCTGCCGATTTTCGTGTATATTTACCACAATCTTCTCCTTGCTGAAGATGTACCCTGACGATACGCTGTGTCCAGTCTCGCAGGCCATATCGGAGGTAGCCATCTCGGAGTAGAACTTCCATGAATCTCTCGCCCATCTCCTGTAAAGAGAAACATGGTCGATCCTATAGCATTGATATCATGTTAACCTCTTCCTAGCAGGTTCTGGAAGAGAACAAACCTGTATCAAACTGCTCGATGATCAACGAGTCAACTAATTTAAAAATCGTGGATTCTATTATTATCTTCAGAAACCAAAATTGATATGGTGCATCAATTACAGCAGTTGTGTTCTAAATGCTCTCTGCTCCTTCGCTGTTTCTTTCATTAGACGCTATGACTTATTAAACGGCATTCCGACTTAACAAATATACAAAGGGGTCATGTTAACTAACAGATAATGGAACGTGTGTCACAAAATGTACATACGTATTGAGTATTGCTCACTGGATTTAAGGGTTAAATCGTCAGTTTTGTGCGTGTATTATACATTTTGTTCACAATCTATATTTGACAACAAATATTACTTCCGTAAACACACCATTCCTAAAGTCTAAAAGACTGGTGCGATGGTTTACATAAGAAAACACAATCGTGTGCCAAGTCGATGGAGTCAACAGTCAAGTTCGTAACCAAAGGACACCATGCTTACTTATTTCTCCTTTTATTAGATGATTGCCATAGAGACAAGGCCTCAGTCAATACACATGGGCAAGCTGAAAGGGTCACTAATAAACTCTTTAGACATGGAAATCATCATGTTTCTTGTATTCAAAAGCGGTTTCTACGGATGAAAGGTATAACTGTTAATAATGTCATTGACTGTTTTAAGAACAAACGTAACAGCCAGCCTTGCTAAAAAATCATGGACTACTCGAGACATCCAAGAAGGCCAAGCACTATTACAATTAGCAAAGACCTACAACAGAAAACAATCAAACAATGAAGAGGGAAGATGTAAGGGATGGAATAGAATATGATAAGGGTACGAGATGCTGCACAAAAGTTCGACACTATCTCAAAAACAAGAAATGTGGTCGCCATTCTCTCAAAATACCAGGTGAAAAACTCAAACGACTTTTCTACGGATGTCGCTAGCATCATAGAAGGAAAAGACTTGTTAAAAGACGTAGTGTCTCTCTTTACTAACACACTCCATCCTCGATATCCAGGGGTAACACTAAGTTTCGCTCTCTGCACCCCTGGAATCATCCGCGATATCCAGGGGTTACGTTCACTTTCGCTCTCTGCACCCCTGTAATCATCCTCGATATCCAGGGGTTACGCTCACTTTCGCTCTCTACACCTCTGGCATATCTCATAGAAAAACTGAAGGCTCGGTTTGCGCCACCTTGTTGACTAGTTCGATCCTCCGATATACATCAAAAGAATCTCGCTGTCACGTAACATTAAAAACTGACAGGCTTTGAAGTCGGGCGTTTCTCCTTTGTAATCTTCAAAGAACAGGCATCAGCCTAGCGATTGGTCAGGTTTTTTTTTTACCAACAAGGTGGCGCACAGCGAGCCTTCAATTTTGCTATGACATATTCCAGGGGTGCAGAGAGCGAAAGTGAGCGTAACCCCTGGATATCGAGGATGCCCTGGAATATGTCATAGCAAAATCGAAGGTTCTGTGTGTACCGCCTTGTGTATGAAACGAGAAGGCTAGTTTGATCCTTTGATGTACATCACCAGAATCCCGCGGTCGCGTAACGGTTAAACCTTTTGGCTTTGAAGTCGGGTGTCGCCCCTCTGTAATCTGCAAAGGACAAGTATCAGCCTACTGATTGGTCAGGTTTATACCCGACACCAATCAAATAGCTTGTCGCGTGCCTTCAATTTTGCTATGACATATCCCAGGGGTGCAGAGAGCGAAAGTGAGCGTAACCCCTGGATATCGAGGATGAACACAACCGTGCATACAGCGGGCTGGATCATAAGGGAAAGGAAACAACAATCATTCTAGGTGACAATATTAATAGTAATGATTATGATTTCTAATCACTAATTCCGTATTTGAACTGTTGAAATATCACAGAAAATACTATGTTCGTTGACCGATGTATAATGCAGGATTTCATTTTGTTCTTAAAAGTCCACTTTTGTTGATTTACGCAGATCGCATATAAAAATATTATATCAGACAAGCAAGTGCTTATAAATAGATTCAGTTGAGTCTACATAAAATCGAAAAAGTTTTTTTTTGTCCGAAATGTATAATGAACAGCAACGTAAGATGACTGTCTATAATGATCCAAGTCAATTTCGTTAGTTGTAAGTCAAGCAATAACGTTACATATTGTATTTTAAATCAAGTGCAAAATGATGTATACATATTACTCTGTATAATATTTATAAGCCGTCCGCTGCTAGGCATTGTGGCGGAAACACTGTGTGTGTGTGTGTGTGTGTGTGTGTGTGAAGTTGTTGTTAATTTGTATTTTTCCTGTTGCACTGAATAAATACACAACTAACGATGTGTATATAGCTGATATGTGAACTTGAACATGGTCAACTTGGCGGGAATCTGTGTGTGGTCAGTCAGTTATTTGATGTTGCCAGGAAAAAAATAGTGTAATGACAGAGTTAAACTTTGACATTTTGTATATAGATCCGTAATAGATGAATCATTTTGTAACGTATCCATTAAAGAGTTAATGAAAAAGTATTTACCTGTATTAATATAGGGTTATATAAAATTATATTTGAAAGCTGATTTTAAAAGACGGCATGTTGATTCGAGAAAATGGAAAGGAAAAATAAAATGTTAATTTATTTGCACTTAGGTATTTTAACTGTAACGAAATTTACTAAATGCAATTTAAATCTGTTAAGGAAGGCTTTAACTGTTTATATATTTTAAAACGTACCCACTCTGAAGGTCAGAGTGATCTGTGTTTATCACGCGGCTCTGAATCATACATGTACATTATATCCGATTTAGGGTTACGTGTGTACGACACGTATTGTTTGTATTATGCATAATGATAATGTTAATAACAACTATTAACTGACTTCTGACAATTTAGTTGTGAAAGGTATGATCTTGTAATAAATGTGTTTATACTAAATCAGTATGATATAATACCCTATATAAGCTACGTATTGAGAATACCGTGAAGTGTAGTGGTTAGCACGAGTTATACGTCTTGCGTGTGTGCGATATGAATATCGAGGTTACAGCACGATGTACGCGTGTAGATGGAGTGTTCAATGTAGTGCAATGTCGTCATTTTACTGCTCCCTAGCGAGATAGCTACTAGGCTACCCACAGTACTAGTGCAGTGTATCGACATCTTATAGCCATATTACCTTTAGCTATCATCTAATACTGACCTAGTTATGACTAGAACTAATATTGATAATTCACCGACCTCCTCTGCCCCGGCCGGATATATATATGAAAATTATCTCGTCGTTATCTCGTCGTCAGAAGCTACGTTATCGCAGCTAGGTTATGAAATGAGGAGGCTTGTATACCTCTTGCTTTGTCTATCGATTATCACATACGATGACACCTGTGTTATCAGATTCTTTATACTATTTATCATATATACCTGGCGACATCCTCAGGAACCCCCTTGGTGTGAGAAGCATTAGGTCGGAAAAGTCCCCCTGCGCCGATACTTGTCGTGTTCACCTCGAACTTGTCGGCGATTATCTGGACAATCACATCCGGGATTAGTTTCTGTATGTTGATAGCGGTAGATAGGCCGACCACGCCTGCTCCTACTACACAAACGCGTGCCATTTTCTGAGTAACTTTTCACTGACAGGCAGCTCGACTGGTCTATGGATGTGTATGTATGTACACGTGAAACTTGTTGTTTGACAAATAGTTCGAGTCAAGTCAACGACTGGCGACTGTAGATGGTGTGCTCCAAGACTGTTATCTGTTACCTATGATCTAAATATAGACACGACTGTTAAGGTGGTGTTTAAGCCCTACTTAATGCATAGAAGTCTGAAAACTATTTAATAAAAATGAGGCATTAAATACCAATTGCGTTTCAATTTGAGAGCACGGAAGATTTTACGAGATCTCTATTATATATTGACGAGGTAGGGAAACACGCACAGGAATAAGAAAGATGTATTATAATAAACAGAGGATCCATACGTATATATCAGTCAACAGTCGAAAGTACTACCTAAGGGGTTGGCGCAGACGCCAATGATCATCAGATGGATTTGCTCCCATTTATCTTTCCTCGAGACACAGAAATACATTGCTTGGTTTATGTTTTTACTTTTGCCTGACAGGTTCTGATGCGCTGACATCAGCACACACGGCCAATGGTTAATAGTTTTGACTTATGTTAGCCAATCTCTTATTGGACGACGGCGGTGTGCTACAGCCATTCAAATAACGTTTTATAAAATGTTTAACAGTACGACAAGATCTGTAGACGACATCATTTTGTCGTTGTCTAAAGAAAATGATGCGAGTGATATTAGGGAGTACGTGTTTGCAATTGATCCTAAACAATCTAATAAAGATCAAATTTCAAGACATCACACAAGAAAATAACGCTCTTCAACTGATACCGAATTCAATAGGTTACATTTTATAATTAGTCATAAAATATCTATGCATATATATAATAAAGAGTGTTTGAAGTAATAACGTTGTATGCATAAATCAGATAATGAAACCGAATATCATAACAAAGGAATGGGGTTGCTTCTTGCTATACGATACTGCAAAGATTTATTTCTTTTTTTGCTCGGATCTTATTTCCGGTTTTTTCGAATATTGTTTTTCTGGAAAAGGTCAAAACCGTAGAATTCATAGCAAAATAGTCCAGCCTCACCTTACCACATTGTCCTGTGGTCACTACACCTAATATCTTCGAAGAATAGATCCCGTGGAATAGAACATTTTAGCAAAATGTTTCACATTAGTGTAAATAATGTTTCAGCAGAATGTAATGTTTTTAAATACAAAATATGAAATATCTTCCTTTTTAAAAAATATTAATACATTTCCATATGTTTGATGAGGTTATTTCAGAAACAAATTCTATAACCATTTCTGTCGCTTCAACAGCAGTACCCCAGCATAGAACCACTCCAAATGAACCATGGCCATAGTTATGTACAACCTTCAACAGCAGTACCCCAGCTTAAAACCACTCCAAATGAACCATGGCCATAGTTATGTACAACCTTCAACAGCAATATCCCAGCTTTGAACCGCTCCAAAGGACCCATGGCCATAGTTATGTACACCTTCAACAGCAGTATCCCAGCTTAGAACCACTCCAAAGGACCCATGTCCATAGCTATGTACAACCTTCAACAGCAGTACCCCAGCTTAGAACCACTCCAAAGGACCCATGGCCATAGTTATGTACAACCTTCAACATTCCGTCTGGCAGCCTTACGGATTCCTTCTCCAATCTGATAGGGATTTTCATGGGCCTTAGACCTACCCAGTCTTCTACCACCTTCACTCCCTATATACAGGAGAGAACAAACACAAATAATGGCTTAAACCAAGATTGTCTACATCTTCACAACCTGTCTAAACATGAGAAATGACATATTTCTTGAAGGAAATATAGTTAGTGATTGTACTAAAACATGTATATCTACCTTACTAAAATGGTTTTGATATGTATTCTTGACCTATTTCAAGGTAGGTGGGAATATAAGACTTGCATATAATATAAAGCGACTAACGTGGGCTCCCTTCAGATCAGCAGGATTACACTCGTTTTTACATCAACCCCCAACCCCACCCCAATAAGTATTTGTACCAATTGCAAGGTTTGAGCCCATTATCGTCCTCTAGTCCCTTTTCCACCTACTGTCTTTTGTATGTGTCTGCCATGGAACACTTATCAGCTACTCTTTGTTCTACCCTGTGACTCTGTTTCTACCCTGTCACTCTGTATGACCTATTTATGTTGTTTGACCGTAAGATTTCTTATAATAAAATGTTAAACTAGAACGTTTTGGCTTACTTATTTGACGGCCTTTTCACCGTTAGGACTGATTTGGTCTTTATATCACAAACCTGTTTAAACCTCATGGTCTTTACTCTCTGAGTGCCAAACATCTTAGCATCCAACAGATAAAATATCAAGACACTAGACTTCGTAAAACTTAAAAAGATGTTTAAAGCTTGTAACTCAAAATAGTGTAGTTTAACTTTGACCCCTACCGGTAACCGAAAGTTAACCTTTGACACAAAATTGTTTCCTGAGAAAAATATAAGCACTTGCATTCTCTACATCATACCAGAATATGGTATACTCGCTGATACGGTTTTCCAAATATTTCGGTCCCAGTTTTTCTATAATCAACTCAGCAAAGCACCATATTCTCGCCCCTTCTTCAACTTCAATCGTTCATTTTTCTATGAAGGAACTGATTGATACAAAAGCGAAACCCCATTTGATGATGACCTTACCCAAGATTTTATTTCTGCAAAAAATAATGCTTATCAGTTATGGCCCAGTCAAGCATTTAAACGGGACCCATCCTTTGTCTATTAGTATTTTCCATTAAAATCTTTTTTTCTGACTGAAAACGTTTTTTTTTTTATATTATTGAATGAATTTTCAAGCACGCGTTACTCATTCTATTATTAGACCGCTGCAAAATCGCAGATGCCCTCTACTGTGAAAATGTTTTATTTGTACCTGACTTACATGTATAACATGTTTTGACTTTGTTTTTACATGTATGTAGAGTTAAGATTTGTTATGATACAGTTGTCTCACGTTATACTACGTACTTGTCAATACAGCGATACTAAAAATAGAACTTTTGTACTTTCAAGTTGTTTGATATGCTGGGTTAAGAAGAACATATTCTTGTTCTGTCAGTGTTGTCAGAGCAGCAGGCACGGTTACTGTTGATAAATCTGTGGTTTACATGACTGTTCCGATTTGAAAAATGTACAATAACGACAGTAAATAATTTGAAAGAAATTAACGAAGTGTAACATCAATGTCAATTATGTCCCAAAAAGATCTTCTGAAAAACAAAACAATATTATTATTTTTTTCTCTCTCTCAAGGCTATAAAAGATAACAAACAAAGGTTTTCTTGATTGAGTTGAACATTCATCTTCACCCTTATGAAAGTATTTTATTTGTAGATGAGGGTCATGTGCATATTTGTACAAATTGTTCCATTATTCTATGGTGGTATGCCAATTTTAGAACATAACTGAGCACATAAAATAATGTTTAACCAATACTAAAGGTGTTGACATGTAACAAATAGATATGTCTATATACTACCTTGTTCAATGGAAATAACTTGGTACTTGAAATTATTCCCGATTGGTTTGAAAATAAACTCATCTTAAAAAGAGACTGCTTTTTAGAATGCACTTGCGATAAATGCAAAAGTAAGTGAACAGCGAATTTCTGACAATGCTTTGTAAATAAAACTGTTATGAAACAGAAATTGACTGTACTATTTGATTAATATATGTATGCCATTCATTATGTATATGCATACATATACTGTTCGAGGATATCTGTCCTTGGAGGATTTTCATCCTTTTTTGGAGTGTAATGTTTTAGACTTAAAACGAATACAGGAGTTGCACTGAAGTTCAGACGAATAAACCCAATCTCGAACGTATTCTTCCAATTTAGAGGAACTGCATATAGCTGTTATGTTTATATATCCGTCATAGGTTCGTTAAATAGCTCGTATTCCTGTGATAGTGTGTGTCTAGTAGTACATGGCTAGGTCGGAGGCTGCCAGTCGGGAGTAAACACTCCAAGACATCATTCACCACCGCCTGGTATGTAAATCATTAGTAAAGAATTCATGTTGTTGTTTGTTCGATATGGATTTTAATACATCAGGATATAACCTTATACAATTTATAGTTTTACTTAAAAGGCTAGGTGAAAACACGAATATAAACAAAACGTACCGACATAATAACGGCAGTAACATCTCCATATATTCAAGAATTTTCACATTTGCTTTATTGGTGGCTTTATCTTTTAGTCAATTTCTTAGAGTACTAAGTCCGACAGATTTTATGTGTATTAGCTGTAACGGTCTTTCTCGATGGTCGGCGTTTTGTAATAACTTGGCATGTTCGCAAGCTTATGTTTTCGCTGATTTTGTAGAGAAATTAATACTTTAAGATGGGTATTTGTGCCTTAATTTGATTACGAACGGAAAGACATGCTTTTGTGAAATTCCAAGACCTTTTTTGAATATATGATCTATTTGATGTTCCAAAGACCAATACATCTGAAGCAAATGCTTAGAATAATATTTTAAGGTAAATTAAACATAATTCATTAAACTAGATATCACAGACCTTTAAAAGAATCCAGTATATCTTTTAATTTGATATCGTCCCACGACCTTAAAAAATGCATCAAGATCGTTTTTGAAAAGAAATTGATTGCCCTTGGTTTTATTAGACTACTAGCCAAAAATGCCTCTTGATTATTCACAAGATGTTTTTTGAAGATTATGATAACGTATGCCATTGCCCTTGGAGTTTTGGACTATGCCATTCATTTTGACAAAGATATAATATCCGTGTACATCAGTTCGCTACGTTCCAAATATGATAACTCAATGCATCTTGCTTCTTCAGGAAGATACAGCCCCTGTGCATTTGGAAGTTGTTCGATGCATATTACGTAATTCATTTTCGCGAACCACAATCCTTAATCTCAGCAAGCTCTTGGCCCTATGTTTCTTGGTAGTTGAGCCAGCCGGACAGGCCGATAGATGACAGACGTCACGTAATCTCCAAACTCACAAGCCGTTCATACCGAGCATGCTAAAATTTAAAGCAGACAAGAAAAGCCTCATCGTGAACTTGTGTAAATAAAACTATAGTATCAGTATGCGATGTCAAGTTTTAGAACGTCAGCCTAACTGGAGCTTTTTGTTTCTAAGTACCTCCTGGTGTGGATCGAGGATGATGAGATCCCTGAACTGGAAGTCACTTGGTACACCTATGATAAATAGATTTATGTCACACGGTTTACCCCATATGGGACACGTGTATCTTGTAAATGTAGAGGTAGGAAAAGCATAGTCCATAACTTTGTTTAATTAACATACAATCCACGTGCTCCAGATGTTCTTTTAACTGTCGGCCACGACATTGACCTTTACCCCTGGCAGGACCCGCTGTATATTGATAACGAAAATATAACATGTAGGCTGTCTATGTCATGCGTTATCGGCACATGACATCGTCATATTAGCGCGTGTCTAGGGTATGCGAGGGTTAACACCGACAATCGACTTCAAATTCCAAATGGGTAATGTAATTAATAGACAATTGCATGCACTCTTAGTCTCTGAATTATCAAAATTCCAATACATATTATTTTGCATACATGATCATCTCATTAGTATGTTCATTCTTTTTTTTGCAAGCTGTAAAGATAATCCCCTTTTGGATGCAAGGAACGACGTTGTCATGTATCATACAACACAGTAAAATCATTTCATCCACCCAGGATTCTAATGAAACATCTCTAATTTCAATATTTTGAACACAATTTTATAATGCGTTTTGATAATAAAAAGATGTAAAGATTACAATCAACATTTAATGATCTCCATACAATACTAAAATACCAATATCATTAACAGGATTTCTTTGATAATGCAATCAAATCAAACCCGTATAATGATGTCTATACAGCAATACACTCATTAATGCAAATACATACATGTACAGATGTGACAAGTCGTAAAGCTTCGTACAAGATAAAAGATCTTATTATAATAATTTGGTCAATTTTACACATATTGAACTGAAATTGTATACATAGGTGAAATATGGCCATGCAAACAACATATCTTCTGATGTGGCCTACTATAATGAATTGTGGTGTGGGTTGGTGTCGATCTATAGTGGCTGCAAAACACACTTGGTCGTCACTGAAGACAATTTCAGAGATCAACAGTGGATTAGCCTTGTTATCCAACCTATCATCATGAAGTGTGTCGGACACTACAGCTTAGTGCTCAACAAGACAATACTCGGTGACATATATGGCGTGACATGCAGCAGACTCTGGTTTGTAGCCCAATATTTTTCTGATCTCTTGCCAATATTACATGTCCGATCGATGCATTGGAACGCACAAATCAAATAGTTTTCTATCCTTCATGAGACAAGTGATTTGCAGAACACCCTAGAACAAATGCTAGCTAATTACTTTGCTATGCTAAATCGGTGTTTTCATTAATACTTTAATTTCTACTCAAGTTGGACTCACTGTAACTACCTAATGTTGCCCGTTTCATTTGCCGATAAAATTGACCAGATTAACATTGCCTGTGCGTATGAATACATATTCAATCATTTTGCGAAAGGATATACCTATTGACATATTTAAACACAAGACCAACTCAATTCATCACCCATCTTTTCAATCTTTATATTCCTTGTCAAAGTAATGACGGCTAGCGTTAAATGCGCAGAATAGATTAGATGTGCACCTTTAATTTGTTGTATGATTTAAACACATTTGAATGAAATAATAGAAATATTACGGAAAGTTGGAGTTTTCGTTCCTGTCATTATATTAACAATCAAAGTGCAACTTTGATAATATTTTGATAATTTCTGAAATGTCTTACTTGTGCAAGTTCAATAACATGGAATGTCCCGAAATTGTGATATCGCCACTCTCTGTGACATGTCATACTGGTAAGATAAATATCTGTTTTATATAATTAGAAATTTAATTAATATAACATAAAAAAAAAATGTATGTTTATTTCAATCAGATACTTCAAATTAACAATAAGAAAACAATTTGTAAAATGGTCTATATCCTGCACTGTTTTGCTGAAGTATTCTTATGCCAATTGGAAAGTTTCGGAAAAAAGGAAAGCTGTGTATGTATTACTTCACCTTTCTTTTAAAGATATTTTTTCTGTTATCCTTTTATATACCATATACGTATAATTTAAAAATAAGCTGTACATCTGAATACGTTATACATAATTTACATATACCAATGGTGTGCAAAAAGATATAAAAGAAAATTAGGAAATGTTATACGTCGAATCTGCTAAACATAAGAGGGGTGATGTAGTGTTGTGTCATGCCGTACAATAACAAGATTATTTTAGACTGGATTGCCTTCAAACAACAATGTGATTAACACAAATAAATGCAACAACTGTTAATCAATTTTTTTTAACAATATTAATTTAACTTTAGAGTTTCGACGAAGTTGTTCCAGATATAAGCTCTTTAACCATTTCTGTCGCTTCAACAGCGGTTCCCCAGCTAAGAGATACTCCATCGGGTCCATGGCCATAGTTATGTACAACCTGTAACGAACAGATACATTACAAACTATGACAGATTCCCATGATTTTTGTTTGTTTTATCTTTCCTGACAGCTTTTGTCGTGTAACCACGGGGATTCAATCACTTACAAAAATACATGTAAACACGAATAACTAGATATTTACCTTCAACCTTCCGTCTGGCAGCCGTACAATCTCCTTCTCCAGTCTGATAGAAGCTCGCATGGGCCTTATACCTACCCAGTCTCCTATCACCCTCGCTCCCTGTACCGGACAGAACAACAAGGTAATACATAGCCAATAGGTGTGAAGATGTTAACGTTATACGTTTAAACATTGTTGTAAAAATATAGACTATAAAAAACATTAACAAAATTGCATATGCACCATTAGACCTATTCACGAGGGTTGACATATTTTGTAAAGAGCATATTTGCAGTAGGAATTAAAGCAGATATATTTGTATAAATTGCTCAAATACACATTCACAAACTAGTTGAATTCGCAACCGGTTATGTCCCTGTATTTATTGTAAAATACTATATATCACGATACATTAGTGGCGATATTTTGGCGACGCTGAAGGCATTAGGATATAAAAAGAATACCAGCTCAACAGTATTAGACGTAAAGCGTGCGTCCCTCGTAGATTCATAGTAACGTCTGTTGTATTGAAGATATTAAATGTACCTTCTGTACCACTCGCAGTAGTTGAGCTCTATATTTTTAATTTTTTGTTTTTCTTTAACTTCTTACAATTCAATATCTTTCTTGGTACATGCAAATCTACCAGATACCTATTGTTTCACCTTGTGACCCTGTATGACCTTTGTTTATTGTTGGACAGTAACATTCCCAGCATTATAAATAATATATACATTACTACTAACAATCATCATCGTAGCATACATCGAAGTTAATTATAAATTCAATATACGTTTGCTCAACATGAGAAATTACTTTTATTGGAATAGATAACATCCAAGTTCAATTTCCTCTCTAATTAGTTTTTACCTTTAACGCCGGCCATAGCTCGAGACAACTGTCCAAAATTCCTTTTTCAATAGATGGATCCGGCGTCAAGGAAACGTTATTCTCATCCCTCGTTCCCCCGAGCAGAGTAAAATCATCGCTGGAAAGTAGCAATTTTAGGACACCATATACTCACGTATAATCCGTCCATCAGATATAATGAATAAAGCTTGTATTTTACGTTATGTGTTATATCAGCTTTTTTCGATTCTTTGCTGAAAATCGTTTGCTCTATCAGTGTGTTTATTCATTTGTTGATATTTGATTCATAGATAAATGGATTTATTGTGAGTATACGCAACTGTAAAAGGTATGCATTTGGATGATGATGATTCGTGAACTTTTATAAATGTTTACATGATCTACCTCGGAAGTATATGTGTCATGGCGTCGGTACAGACCCAGTCCTTTACCCAGGGAGCCTCCACCTGTGATACAATTTATATAATAAATAATCATCCAAACGAAACGGTAATGTGTTTTACTAGAAGCTCATCTATCTATCTTGCAATATATTCAGGATATGAATAACGATATAAATCTTCCATCTAACAATGGTAAGAAGTTGATAACGTCATTTTTTTAACTAACAAATATCCTTCATTTTCCCTCGAAATCGTATTTACGTTACGCTGTTATGTGATTAAGCATTAGACAAACGATATCTGTAAAACACGAACTTAATCAGGAAAACAATGTCACATTATTACCAAAAGCAACCAGAATATCTGATATATCATATAAAATATTTCCATGTTATAAAGAAACATGAAAATGTCCATCTAACAGATCAAGTAAGAACTATTACGTCAGCTAGGCATTGTAACCATGGTTTGCGAAAACACAATTTCGGATGTAAACCAAAATCAATTTTGACACGATACCACCAAAATGAAATCGGATTACGTTGAAATTCACATCTATGTTTACGTCTCACCCTGACGACCTGTCCACGTAGCGGATATAAAAGCTTGTCTCCACAAAGCTGCTGACTGCCCAGACCGGAACAGTTGACCACTACGTCACACTGACCGTACATCTGTAATAAAACACGTGGTGTTATTAGAACAGATGTTTACGTGTGTCTCTTATATTTCAGTGTGTCTTAGCAGCTTTATCAGGATTTATGAAATAAATTACCTTAGCTGTTATAACTAATATTGGGAAATATTCATTTGTGTTATTTCTGTAAATTTATAATAGAACCATGACTTTCTTAATAATATACACAAAGGAAAAGTTTCCTCAATCCATTTACACAGATCAATTGTATTTAAGGGAAATTAGGGGTGAATTCCATCTCTAAACTGCCATTCATGCTAATAAAGTTATTATCTTTTTGCGTACCTCACTTAAACTTCTTATGTTTCTTTTCTCTACTTTGCCACCGTGTTCTGTGAATCTGGAAAAAAAGATATGTATATAAGTAAATAAACTGATGACTACTTATAGCGGTGTATAAAATGTCGGAAATAACATAACTTATTTCAAATATTGTATACCCACATACACTTAACAGGATGTCAGATTCGTGCAATGTTGCTGCATCCCATATCGAGATCCAGATACATAGATTAAATAATTGTGTCCAAATTAACTTTGCAAAAATATACTATTTATAAAAGGATAACGAACTAGCGGGGTTTATAATCAGGTAGTTTTGTTCAGGCAACAAATCCAAATAGCAAAAATATGCCTTTACAAACTGGATGCGCTAAAATGTAGCAATTTATTTCTGTGTCATCGTCTCTTAATAAGAAATCTGTAAAAAAAAATGAATACTATTTCAAAAAAAAATATATTCATCTACACACTTAACATGAGTGGTCTTTAAATCGTGACGTCAGCTAGGTACCGTTAATTAACTTTTACCGTTCATAGTGCATGGAGTTTGCAAAATTTCAGCTTCAATTTCTGCGTGCCTTATTATTTGACTCAATGCAGAACCTATTCACTCTGTTATTTTCTTTTACTGTTCATACATGTATCGCACAAACTTATTACGCGTGTCTATTTATTGGTATACTGTTTGTTTTACGAAAGTATTAGAAACCGTTTATATAACTTACTGTTTCATCAACCAGAACAGATATTTCCTCATATTTGTAATTATAGTTGTTATCTCATATCCAAATCTGCAACAATAAATGATAATAGAAAACAACCGGTGCAAAATTCCTTACTAAAAGTCAGCTTATCCAATGTAAAACAGTTTTAGTAGGTTAATAATCTACGAATCGACTCACTTTATGTATACGCCAAACTATTCAGACAAAACATACGAATAACGATATGAGAAAATGTAAAAATTACTTCCACTGAGGATAGAACAAAGAAGGGAAAAAATATGCATAATAATCTACTCCAAAAAGAAAAGCAATTGATAACTTTAAATAAACACGTAAGAAAACATTCGGGATACTTGAAGATGATCTTTATTTACACTGATCTAAATTACTTTGCATCTGTTGTTCAAATGACGCTGAAATAATTATTATACATACATATTCCGTTGTTTGTTTACCTAAATCTGTTGTTTACTCCTAGTTGGTTTAGTTCCTCTGGCAACATTTCCCGGTATGAGTACACAATGCCGGCATACAAAGGTGTCTGTAACAACATGCATCAGAAATATAAAAGTACAATTGTAGTTTCAATTTACTTTGTAATATCAGCATTCATTTGAAGGAATTTTGGAAAGCCTCGTAATTTCAGCGACCGAACATTCAATTTGAGCTGCACTGAATATCAACATGTCTTTTTTCAGGTGAACATTAATTTATACCTTTGTCTTAGTTTTATTGAACAGGTATCCATGCGATATTATGTGTCCAGTGGTACCCGCTAGGTCGGAGGTTGCCATTTGGGAGTAGGCATTCCAAGACGTCTCACACCATCGCCTGGATCGATACATCGTTAATGAATAGTTTATATCCTTCTTTCTTTGATTGATACAAATAAACAGTCATCATGACGTATAACTCTTGCTTATTCTAGTATAGATGCGATAATATTAATAAAGACAAAGTTATGCAGACATTTTAGTGCTGTGAAAGACTTGTATGTTGATATCTCAATTTTTGGCTTAAAACCGATATTCATGTTTCGCCCTCTATAGCGCCAGAAAGAGATTGATCTTCCATGGCTGGGAGAGGACTATTATTTAATAACAATAAAATCAGGATCACCTAGGAGAAGACTTACATTGGATAGTAAGATAAATGGATCGCTACTCTATGGTTGGAGTAGGACTTTTAGGTAATAGCAATAGAAAGGTCTCGTCTTTCCCTGGCAGAGAGCGCTCTGGTATTTTATAACGCTTAAGGATCTAGGTGAGGACTAGATTTACTAAGAATGAAAAAGATCGTTCATACGTTACTTGGACAGGATTGATTTATAAAAATACAAGGTAGTATTTGCAAAGGTGCATGGGATGCAGACGTGAAACATTTGTATACGTTGTGTGTTGGGAAATTCTATATCTGTGACACATGGGAATATGTAACTGCCTGATTCAGAGATATTTAGATACTTGGAAATGCCAAGTACAACTATTTTTTTATGTTACCATATTTACATTGTATGTTGCTGAATCTATTTTTTAAGGAAAAACTGCTCACGGCAAAGCATTGTCATATACTTAACATTGCAACTAACCCTAGCATGTGACTTATAACATATATGAATAGTTGACATGAGAGCTAGTTCGTTCAAGTCATGAGCCAAGAACTTAATTACAAGGGACAATCATGCCAAGTATATTCGTCTCTCCATGCCCTACAATTATATGATTATAAGAATATTGACCTCAATCGCTGGTCTTACTCAGCTTGGAAAATTATGATACCTTCTATAGGATATATGGTTATGGAATCGGTATCTCAACAATATTTATAGTATGACCCAGGGACGAAGTTATAGTTATAGAGTGGGTTCCCCAACTGTTTCCATGTCGTGACAGAGAGTTAGTGCTTTGACTTCATAGGTTTAGCGATAACATCGGAGAATATAATGATATCATGTTAATATCTACACCCACTAAGAACATAGTTGGTTTTACGATTTTCATCTGAACCGTTTCAAAGTCATTCTAGTGAACACACTTATTAGACCTTCATACCAACAGACTACTGTCAACATTTCAAAAAGAGTCTACTTGATTACTCCAAAGAGTTTATGTCTTTGCAGAATTTGAAAAATCGTCCCCGGTGACCCAGAAGGTGGTTACTTAATTGCTCATGTTAACCAATCTTTTGCCATAGTATGCTACGTTCCAAGTATAATGACCGTGTCTCTCTTTGATATTCAGAGGACTTTGCCTAAATGGGTTTTATATAATTATTTAACCCATCTGACAATAAAAATTGGTCGAAATCAGGCTAGTCACTAGACGCCCATTTTTAAAAATTAGTACATGCACAAATACCTGGTATAAACATTTGTAATAATGATTACTTTAGTGTGTCAGTAGGTATTTCGGGAATTGTTGTTGCTGAAGGAAGAAATAGTCCTCCAGCTCCAATGCTTGTCGTTTCGTCATATAACCTGTCAGCCACGACCTTGACCTTTACCCCTGGTAGGACTCGCTGGATATTGACCGCTGTAGAGAGACCCACCACTCCGGCACCAATCACAATGATGTTTACCATTATCCAAGTTAGTTTTTTCGTTGTTTTATCCAGTCAATAGGTCACACTTGCCTTCGTATGATATATAGCAATTATCATACAATGGTCAATCCAAACCTATATTTGATCAAATATACGACATACTTAAAAATTATGTAACACATACTGCGTTCAAGATACATATTTCATATATGAACAGGTAAATATTAAAATGACAGAACGGGATTTCGAACGTGTTCATTCATAAAAATTTAATAAAACAATAACGCTTTAAAAATCACTTCTTATAGAAAACCCGATTCTATGTGAAAAATGCCAATCTGTCATAATGACTTGATTTAAGATGACAGTTCATCTGTAAGATTCCCAAGTGTGTGAGCAAGATATATGATACCACCTGACTTCGAATATACACAGATTGTAAAACATTGCTACTGTTGACATGCCGGTACACAGAATACGACAGCGATTATTTCCGGTGTTGTCCGGAATGTAGAAACAGTTTTTGTCAGTTCCTTGGAATATTGTGACATAATAAGGACATACATATCTCAGTAAGACTTTTGAAAACTAAACCTTAAGCAATCAATTTAAACCTTTCTATATACACAGATGTTAAAGCAAACGTTGGTCAAGATATTTTAACAACAATATACTTCAAATGTATATGAAAACAAAATGTCAACAGGCAGAAAAATAGAAAGAAGAGTTCAATTTGGATAATAAATTATGGAAAACTAACTTTCCATGTCAACTCAGAACACAAGATTTCAGCAGTTACAACAAACTGTTATGTAACCTGGTTTAGTAGGAACATTGCACTGTTTTTCATGTTTCATACAAAAACAAAAAAACGAAACGGAGCAAAAGGCACACTTTCTTGGAATGTAAAAAAGGACAAATGTTATTTCGACTCATTCAGTTAAAGATGTACCTATAAGATGACTTATTCTTTTTAGCTATAATAAAAAAAAAACCTGATATCTGATGAACAAAATGGAGACTGTTCTTTTTAAAGATTACGAAAATGTCCCTATTATAAAACATTATATGTAGTAATTTAGATAATAATTTATCACACACAATTAAGAACACTATAATGTCCAGAGATACAAAGCAAATTGAAAAGACGATGATCTTAAATCTAGATTCCAACAACGAAGGAGAAAATGGCTTTAATTAATTGATACCTCGTTATAAATCCTGAAAATCATTGATTTTTTACACTTAACATTTTCATTTGATATGAATGCATGAATGCTTAAATCACTTAAATCCTAGCTGACAATGGCCTTTCTATACTTTTCTGTCTCTTCTCCTTTCCTCTTACTTTTTTTATCTGTTATCTTACAAAGTGTTCTTGTTCCTGTATATCAGTGTCATAATGTTTTTATTAACATACAATGTAAGTAAGCATTGGTACATGAATTTAAATGTAGATGAACGTATGTTGGTATGTTAAAATGTTTCTATGTATATTTAAATCTGCGTTGTGCAATGTGTTATTAATAATTAAATAATTAAAAAAAACGAATGTTGCGTAACAATGTCGTCAATTTATTCACGCTGCTCGTCAGTCTACCTGTAATGGACTATCGTGTGCAGTGACGCATTCCTTATAATGTCTTTATCTGTAATCGTCCCAGGTAATACTGGGCTATCCGACACGTATGATAATGGGGAATGACGGATAATTAGTCTTACCTGGTCAAACATCAAACACATGTGTAACACAAGCAAGCGGAGTTAAATATATTGTTTCTACTCTGACACATGTAATCGGGCCTTAACAAAATACATATAACCGGGTAGTGTGGAAGACACTGGCAATATCAAATATACATCTGTATTTAACACGCCTAATACCAGATATGTAAACTGATTGGATACATTCTATATAGATCCTACCACATCAGTGAATATAAAACCATACCAGTATATGTGAAAATATCTATCAAAACATGACAGACAACTGCACATGGAAACAAAATCAACTCAACAGTAAAAAGAATTAAACCATGTATGCATTTATATTAAAACTGAAGAATGAAAATAATTATTGAGTGAACGAACTTGAAAATTACTGAGTGGTGTCGATCTATTTCCATCTTCGGGTCGTGCTATTTGAACCTTTATATCAACAGCAGCTTTATATCCTGGGGTAAGGGAAAGTCTAGAGCAGGCAGACAGAGATACGACATGGAGATAGAGGTAAATATCATATACGTTAACACACTTCTTGCTATAACATTTTACTAAACTGCACTGACAATCAGTAACTCTAATGTATTTTTCGGTTATGACTAAATTCCGTCAACTTACTATATCCTCAACCGACTCGTGCCGGATCTAGGAACACAAGTCTAGCTCTCTCGTCGTTGTATATTTGTCGATGTTTCTTTTGCCGTATGTAATGGAGGTTCTTCCTTTTCCAAAACACCTTGGCCGAGTTTGCACATATTGTACAGGGTGCTATTGTTGGCATGTCCGTACATAGCATACGACGGCGATTACTTCCTGTGTGTTCCGGACAGTTGAGGGGCACGATAAGGATAATTATAGTAAGGATTAAATACAGTAAATGGAGGAAAATAACATATCTAACGGGACTGCAGTACATACAAAAGGATTTTATTTATATATAGAATTAAATAAATTCAAAATATCAATTAATCATTTCAAAAGTGGATAAAAATATAACAAAATATCATTTGTAGTACGTAATAACGGGTGGATCTCAAATCCTTTAAAAATATCACGTGGAATAAAACACAGATGCCCTGCATCGGCACTATTATTTATCATGGCAGCAGAAGTTCTGACATTAATAATAAGAAGTAACCAAATCATGCATGGAATAAAGTTACATCATAACTAAAACAAATCTTACAAAATATCACAATTACTTGTAGCAGACAAAACTGCCGTATTATCTCATTTCTTCGAGTATACGAAAGAAATGTTCGACGAAGTAAGAAAGGGGTGTTTTTCTTTTTACTTCTGGTGATTGAAATAAAAGAAAAATTCCTCATGCCCAGGGTTTTTACTTCAAATGAAAACTCATTGGATGGAATTTCCCTTGAAAGGGAAAACAGATATGGTAATAAGATAATCAATGACATATAATTTATCGGATCTCTATTTTATATCGACCCAAAACAGCATACGGGATTTTGAAAAGATAATTCTCAGGAAGGAGAGAGAGAGAAAGCCATAAGAAATGGAATGCTCCATCGGATCAGAATGCACTCACTGCCTGTGGATGATTATATTAGTTCTTAGTGATGTCATTTAGTCAATGCTTCTGTCACATTCCAGCGTTTTATGTCCTTGGTGTTAGCGGCATTGATAGAAAGACAGTCTGGTGTGTTTGGACGATAGGACTGCCTATTTCACAAGTTTGCCTCTCATCTCCATGTGCTGCAACAAATCGTCTTGAGTCAGGTTTGAAGTTAAAGCTATCAAGGCGTCAGTTGTTACGAGAGAGTGTGGTGTTCATTGGACACCATGCACGTTTCCATGGTCTTGCATCCTATTACAGACGATTTATCCCTAAGCAGGCCCTGCTGTTGAAGGCTGCACCTCATTGTGCCATATGATGTGTGTTGTGTCAAATGTAAGGTATAGGGAACGGGCTACTACTTACAGAGGTAAAACCTTGACAAAAACGGTGAGGAATCGGAGTAATTTTTAGTTTGGCTGATTCGTATCTTTTAAATAATACATGATGCCGAAAACTTATTCCAGAGTATTTCACTAGTATGATACGTTACTAAAAATAGATCTTGAGAAAGCAATTCAATTTCAAAATTTTATTGATACATGACATTCATAATCTAAAATGTAAGTGAACTTGCAGACTCCCAGTTCTTTGAATAATACTATTCCATACAGCCATTTCTAATGCAAATTGTTCATCATTAATTTAGGTAATATCCCCCTTCCTTATGATAAAGATAAAGCCATACCGACCAGGTAGTAATGGAAATGAAATGATATATGAAACAAAGGTTGTAATATGTGGCCAATATATATTTTTGACACCTCAGTATTTTTTTGTATTTGTCTTCAATTAATTTTTATATGAATACGATTTTTACATATATGCTTTTATTCGTTATATAATAAAAAAAATTAACAAACGTACAAAAGTAATTAAGAAATATTGTACATACATTATACTTTGCATGAGTAAATCGAAGCCAGGAAAATGTAAAATAAACATTGTCGTCAAAATCCAAAAAATCAGCTAACATTTTTTGCATTACATAACCAATGAATGGTGATGTGTTTCATACTGTATACTATTTTTCTGTCGCTTTAGCAGGATCGCCTTTCTTATATAATGGTATCCGTACAAATTGAAGCCACAACTTGTTATTCCATTTTTAACAATGCTAAGACAACTTTAGAGTTTCGACGACGTTATCCCAGATATTAGCTCTTTAACCATTTCTGTCGCGTCAACAGCGGTTCCCCAGCCTAGAGCCACACCATTGGACCCATGGCCATAGTTATGCACAACCTGTAACATTATATATACATTACAAAATATAACAAGGTATCAACTATCAACCTTTGAACTTCTAAATACAAACATTTAACATTTCTGTTTAACCTTTTTGAACATTGTTGACATGAAGATTCAACCACTTACAATAAAATCAATATAAAATACATAAACTTATTTACCCTCAACATTCCGTTTGGTAGTCGTATAGTTTCCTTTTCTAGTCTGATAGGGTTTCTCATTGGCCTCAGACCTACCCAATCTCCTATTATCCGCGCTCCCTATGCAGGTCAGGACAACAAAGTAATGCAAAGATAATAAGTGTGTTCATCAACAAATATGGTAGGCTATGTCACAATAATAAAACAAGAAATATAAATAAGACGGCATTTACGCAAACGGTCACGAGGGAGGACACGATTCATCAAAAAGAAAATTGTGCAATTGTTGTTCAGTTGTTATTAAAGCATATACAATGTATGTTATTGGTTAAATTGCTTTCGACACTGTTTCTTATATGAAGGTGAAAAATGATATGTGTCATTAAATACAAGCCATTATTTTGCCGCTGACGAGATTTCCTGCACAGGATGAAAAAAAAATACCTGCTAAACAGCATGAGGCGACTTACTTGCACTCTTGTAGAGGAGCGGATTAGTTGTGGTCTAAACAATGGAGAAATATTAAAGGTACTTGCGTTACCAGCCGCAGGAGCCGAGCTCTTAATATTTCTGTTTCCTTTTCATATTCAGCTACTTATGTCTCACTTGGAACAAGTACATTTACCGGACCTATTGATCTACCTTGTAACCCTGTGTGACCTTCTTTGAATTCTTCTACCGCAAGTCTCTAGTAGTAGTAAGATTGCATGTGCATGATAGTACTACCAATTACTATCAGTCAGCAAAGTCGATTATAAATCTAAGATGGATTCGCTTAGAATAAAAAGAGACTTCTTTTGTCATAACTATGATGTGTACCTCCTTTGGGAAAGGTTGCCTACCTTTATCGCAGGCCATACTTCGTGGCACCTGTCCAGAATTCCTTGTTTGATAGACTGATCTGGCATCATGGAAGAGTTTTCTCTATCTTTCACTCCCCCGAGCAAAGTATAATCATCGCTGGAAAGACATTATTTGTAGGACGTCATGAAGTCTTGTGCAATATACCCATCATAAGTTGGGTAAACAGGTTTTATCTTACCCGATATATTTATAGCAGTAATATACGTTTAATTGCTTAAAAAATATAGTTCAATATGTGCTAAATTGTTCGCTCAATCAATTAACAAATATATTGAATGTTTGGTTGTTATTGTGCGGGACTGTTTAAGGTATATATACGACCTGTAAGTATGACACCTACTCGGTATCATTGTTTTGAAAATTATCTATAATCAGACGAGACATTTATCGGTGGTGGATATATCGTCAATATTGTTTAATTACAACCACACTGTCGCATTAAAGTTAACAATAAGGCGAAAATCGCAAAAAGTGTCACTGCAGCATATATAATTTTATCATGTAGTAACAAGAATATCAAGCTATCATGAGTAAATATATTAAGGTAAGATAATATGTAGTTTATGATACGCAAGCATGTACTTTGAGACACGCCCACGTTATTTACCTCGGAAGTATATGTGTCATTGTGTCAGTATAGATCCAGTCCTTCACCCAGGGAGCATCCACCTGTACAGTGTGGTATCATTAATAAGGTCAACTATAATCAAAGTTAAACCGTGATGTATTCTACAAGTCTTATTTTTCATCTATCTATTTGGGAATAAATTAAGAATGTAAGCAATAACGACAGATACAAATATACCTCCTTTATCTTTGAGTGCGAGTAATTAAATTCAAATTTATGTGTATATATACATCATATTTCCCTAGTGGTTGCAATTGTATTTTCTTATTTTCTTCATGATATCATATCATCAGACATTAAAGTGCATTATATAAGTCAAAATACTAGATTAACGAAATTAAAAGCAATCGCATGCTGTTATAGAGTAGTAAAACATAATGTATGAGTTTAAAATTGACAGTATGAATATTTGTCAGATCTAAAGTATTTTCTCACTTAAAGTGAAATAATTTATCCTTTCAGAGTAGCAAGTTTCTTACGTACATGTACATGAATTGATCATGTGAATAAATCATACACGTTCATTGTAAAAAGTTGGCAATCACTTTCACGTCGATACAATATACATATTACCTTGACGTATATATTTAGTTTAAACACCTTACCCTTATAACCTGTCCACGCACTGGATATATGAGTTTGTCTCCACAGAGCTGCTGACTGCCCAGTCCGGAACAGTTGACCACTACATCACAATGACCGTACAACTGTAATAAACCACGTAGTGTAATACAAACAGATGTTCACGTGGGTGTATTTATGGATAGAGGATTTGCTTGCTTTTGTGCCCTCTACATGGGGACGCAAAAGCGATCAAAACTAATCTGCTGCACCAATAGATGGGATCTTTTTATTCCTCTCTACGTCTAATAATCTTTTATTTCCTAGCGCCTTGCTTGACAATACCTCACTTTTGGCTTTAATGTTAAGCTCTGTTTCCAGGTCGGGACATACCGAAGTCCTTAGAATTGGTAGTTATTATTACCTCACCTTAACGTTCAGCATTAAGGGGAATGGCAACAACTGGTTCGCCCGTTGTCAGTATACTGTGACCGGGCGGAATGCTGTGCTGAGTTCCTTCGGCATGGCATTTCAGTGAGATAGCACTATAAAGCATGCTTACACTACACATATGAAGGCACGTCCTTAAAAGACCTTAGCTGTTAATAGGACGTTACACAAAATTAAACCAAATCAAATAAAACAAATTAATGAATACGTTTTTGTCGTCAAAAATATGGACTTTTCTCTTTTGCGTCCGATTTTTAAAAAGAAATATTCCATTGGACATCTGTAGACAACATTTCTGTATACAAATAGATATATGATCTATATGCGTACTTCACTTAAACTTCCGATTTTCCTCTTTTCCACCATGCCACCGTTATCTGTGAATCTGAAAAATGTTTATTAACTGATGACTACGCAAAAATTGTTTTAAAAGTCGAAATTGGCTTAACACTTTCTAAATGTAGTGTAAAACTTTTATTAAATGGGACTGGTTTGTTGTCCCGATCGCATTTTCGAGAATGTAGATGTTTACTTACTCTCTATCAAAAGAACAACTATTTAACATGGTTTAGTCTAATACTAATATTGCGTTCGGGCAACGAATTATACAGTTATGTATGTTTTATTTGAACCATTACCACAAACAATATAATATATATTAATACATATTATATATTTACTTACATACTACATGAAAAATCCAGCCTTCATCTCTATGTGCATTTATTGCAATCGTTTTGCTTGAATACTATTCATATAACATGCACATTTTGCGCAAATGTTTTACAGGTTCATTATTATGTTTTTTGACATTATTCACAATCTCTTCATATAACTTACTGTTTCATCAGCCAGGACAGATATTTCCTCATATTAGTGATTATTGTTGTTATCTCATATCCGAATCTGCAACAATAAATTATAACAGTAAACAACTACAACATCATACCTATCATAATAGTCAGGTCATCTTAAGGTGAACCAAAGGCACACGCAGGGGATTGAACTTTTACTATAACACAGTTCTAAGAAAGTATGTTAGGAAGCCGCGCTCTCTGCATATGACCTGAAGTAATTATAAGACACCACGGCAATTTCAACAATCAAGTAAAGAAACAACAATTACATATAGATCAGATCACGCCAAAGCAACAATCACCAGAAAAACTTATGAAAAGAGCGACAGAAAGTATTAAATGAAAATAGGACATACGTGAAAATAATAGTTCAATGCTTTTATACGATCCAGAATGAGGTTACTTATCGGAAACAGGTTTGAAAGGGCTATAATATATCACAGCAGCTTCCTTCAAACATACGAACTCGGCCCGGTAGTGGGATTTACATTTGGTTTTTGAGCCAGTGATTTGGATTTTTACAGACTTTTCTTGAGGATGATACTTAACTTGTGTACGCCACTCCAAATAAATAATAACTGTAAATTACACTAACTGTATTATGAATCAATTCTTGTACATAGCTGTAGATAGGTATGTTACTGAATAAATATCCCATGCTTTATTTACATAAAGCTGCTGTTGACTCCTAGTCGGATGAGTTCGTCTGGCAGCATTTCCCGGTATGAGAACACAATACTGGCATACAACGGCGTCTGTAAAAACACACAACACAAATACAGTATTGTAATTGTAGCTTCCTTTTGCATTATAACTTCGCCAATATTTTGAAAGAAATTTTGAATGCAATGACGATTTACCAGAAACATTAACCAGGAGTGTCACTGAATATCAACCAAATTCTTCAAATGAACAGTAAAGTATACCTTTGTCTTAGTTTTCTTGAACAGGTACCCATGCGATACTATGTGTCCAGTGGTATTTGCTAGGTCGGAGGTTGCCATTTTGGAGTAGGCACTCCAAGACGTCTCACACCATCGCCTGTAAATTGTTAAAGACTATATTTATAAAAGTGTTCGTGCCTTATTTTGACCCTGCTATTTTTTGTTGTTCTGTTGATTAATCGATACTCATAAAACCAACGATTTTGTATATTGCAATCAATTCATTTCATCCTTTTATAATGCTAGAAATATCAAACATCCCTGGATGGGAGAGAAAAAACAAAACAAAACATCATAATTTATGAAAAGTAAGCACATACATGGGCATTGGATAGTGACTTCAATCGTATCTAAAGAGCAATCATGTGCATATTTGCCTGTTTTTACTTGGTAATGGTATGATGATAGGTTAGGGATATTGAATGCTGGTTTGTTTTAGGGACTAAATTGCCTGGGTAGGGCCAGACCTCGGGTCAATTATGATAGCATGATTGTGTTCATCTTTTCACCTTAACAATTGTATACATATGGTGATGGAATGGAGATCTCAACAGTGTCCATGTTATGATTTCGGGTTTAAGTACCCAGGAAGGGTGGAGTCCAAAGTCCAATTCTGATAACAGAACTGTATTCACCTCTTTATGCCCTGCAATTTTATATATGATTATATGGGTAGATTTATCAACTCTATGATCTGACAAAACGTTTATACTCCGTGTTCAATTGGAGACGTTGAAGCACATAGACTCTTTCATATCTATAGCCAGGCATCAGCTAGAGCGTAACCGAATCGATTTGTCGATTCAGCGTCTATTTCATTATTACTTCCTCATACATATATTACCCCTTTGTGTACATACGTATGTCTAGATGAAGATGATAAAGTACATATCATACTTGAAATCGATGAGTCAAAAATAAACTTTAATTAATAGAGCTACATTTGTATATTGCCCTCTATACGATCGATACATACATGTACCAATCAGATTTTAGAAAAATTACAGACACTCCATACACTACGAGTTCAAAGTTAATGTATACTGCGCAGCTCGATCATGTTTAATAATAGTTGTGACGTCTTATGCAGAATGTGTGGTTGGTAGATATTCCTTCTCTTATAACATAAAAATGACAATCAATTCTATGAGATGGGAACGTATAAAGAAGACATATTTAACATATTTAACATTATTAACTCGAACTATATCTTTATGTACTTTTTGGTCATGATGTTAATATGTAAAACAGGAGGTCACCGTTAACGCCTTTGCCAGATTAATAGAATCTCTCGTCCCGAGGGGGACGTGTCTTAAGTCAAACACAAGGCTTTGCCGGGCGTTTGGCATTTAAGAATCTTTCCCGGAGGATTGAGATTCCCAGTCTCACCTCAAGGGTGTGAATGGTTCTTTTTTTCTCACCCTATTCTCCCATTGTGTATCAGACATAATGTGATGTTAACGGTACAGGCTAAATTCATGCGTAACGTGACGTCCTCCCTCCCCCACCCAACCTTGGGTAAGACTAATAAAATATATTACCTGTCGAGGCTTAAGATTCGGTAACGTAATCCAAACTGAGATTTGGAGGATACAAAATCTTAGCCCGAGACTGACTGAGATTAACTGATTTTGCTCAGTTACAGCTAATGTATTTTTTTCGCGCACCTATTAGTCACGCGAAATGTCACGTAAAGGTACCAGACAGATCGTTCGAAAAACAAAAAAAAAACCATGTGGTATGGCGTTTGATATCTTTGTCTGAGGTGCAATAATAATTGAAAATCCCCCTACCTTGAGGTTGTGACAGAGAATATCTCACGCCGGTAAAAGTGTGAATACACATGTCCGGGGTAAGAGAAAGCATTATCTATTATGCATAGAACTATTTCACATAGAATACGTGTATCAATTGTCTATAATGATAATAAATTGATTATAATGCCCTTTATAACTTATATTTTTCAATTACGAATTATTATACGTGCACATATATAATGTGATTATGATTACTTCAGTGTGTCAGAAGGTATCCCGGGGATATTTGTTGTTGTAGGTAAGAAGATTCCTCCAGCTCCAATGCTTGTCGTTTCGTCATAGAACCTGTCAGCAACGACCTTGACCTTTACTCCTGGCAGAACCCTCTGTAAATTGACCGCTGTAGAGAGACCAACAACTCCGGCACCAATCACAATGATGTTTACCATTATGTACGAATAATGTTGTCCTTCCCAGTCAGAATGCCACACTTTCCTTCGTATGATATCAAGTGAAAGTTATATAAAGGTCCGTATCAGCCCGTGTAAATACTGAATCTGATCAACATGTAGCTCTCTTTCGTGTTATCAGTGGGTTAAACTATAAAAGTGTATAGTGAGAGTTTGCAACGGTTTACTCCGACAATTGGCTTCAAATAGTTAACCATTTATTTCTAATGGTCGAGCTCGGTACCTTTCCAATGCGACCTAACACTTCACTAGAGCGGCTATTCAAGAACTGTAAATATTTAGCATTACTTTGGAAGTTTTGAAACGTTCGAAAAAGACTTTCTATGTCACAAAACTTTTTCCGATTGATATACTTTCTATATACAAAAGAGAGCCTTACTGGTCGAAAACAGAAATGAATTGGGACACATGTTTATAATTATAATTTGTGTAGTATTACTTTTCACTTTTATCTATAACAAATCTTTGTTAAAATTTAGGGGTATTAAATTTATATGTATTTTAAAAAAGATGTATCATGCATGTATCTGTTCTGAATTCAACCGAATCAGTTCGGGTTCAGCCTTACAAAAATATACAGATTTAATCATGTATGCCGCAATTAGAAATACCGAACGAATGTTAAAACCTATAAAAATAATACTCTTTCGGATTTAAGCGAAAATAAAATGCAGAACACAACAACAATGAATCAAATAACCACTCGAAAACCATGAAGCGTGTGTTTGGCGTTTTCATATGTTGATTATGACGTTCTCTCTCCATCCCAACTCTCATCCCAAATTCACAAAAGATGTCACAAAAATCATCAAGGAAGCAAATGAACAACAGAAGGAATCAAACATCTACAGGTGAGGTGAATAATTGATTATTGAGTGAACGTACATGATAATAATTGGGTGAACGAACGAACATGATAATAATTGAGTGAACGAACATGATAATAATTGAGGGAACAGACATGATAATAATTGAGTGAACGAACATGATAATAATTGAGTGAACGAATATGATAATAATTGAGTGAACATGATACTAATTGAGTGAACGAACATGATAATAATTGAGTGAACGAACATGATAATAAATGAGTGAACGAACATGATAATAATTGAGTGAACAAACATTATAATTATTGAGTGAACGAACATGATAATAATTAAGTGAACGAACATGATAATAATTGAGTGAACGAACATGATAATAATTGAGTGAACGAACATTATAATTATTGAGTGAACGAACTTGATAATTATTGAGTGAACGAACTTGATAATAATTGAGTGAACGAACATGATAATAAGTGAATGGTGTCGATCGAGGTCCTCACCGTTACGTTACCATTGTACCATTTGAACTTAAGTACAGTGGTTTGCAATAAGTAATTTCGCAAAATGGCCGCCGTGAAATTAAGTGCGCCATAATATGTCAACATTAAAATGTAATAAACATAAACATAAAAATAAAGTTTTACTTACCTTAAAAATTTAGTACTTGTTTATATGTCCCCTAGCTCTTTACACATGACGTATACTGCCCGGCAAGCTTTAATAATGATAATAATACTATATAACATTAGCTATAGCGCCTTATCTAGCTACATGTAACATAAGCCACTCAAAGCGCTTCACAGTACATAGCTATACAATCAAACATGAGATGTCAAGTTTTAGAACGTCAGCCTTATTACTTCCTGGTCTGTATCGAGATTGCTTGAGCTAGAATAAACCACTCTAAAGCGATTAACAGTACATAATTATACAATTGATACAATCAATACAATTAGCATTTATATTAATCAATACAATTTTGAGGAAGTACCAACTAGTCCTATGCCACCTGGCTAATATCTCCCTATGCCTGCATACCTGCGTGTGTGCTGAAGATGTATTGTGAACTGAATTGGAAGGCTGAACCAGACGTCATTTACTACCCGTTTAAAGTCCTCTGCGTTCCGGACTTCGTTTACTCGTCTCTTGAGTCGTATTTTCAGCACTCGCCACACGTTTTCAATTAGATTGAGATCCGGACTTTGTGCTGGCGACGGAAGATTTAAGAATACTCTTTCCTATTTTTTTTAAAATCCAGAGTCAATTTGGAAAATATCTAGCTATAACTGGCCACAAAAGATTATCCAAACGTTTGACTGCTTTACTCCGAACGAACACTTTCTGTTTTTCACCATTAATCATTTTGGTTTCGTCACTAAAATAACAATTTTGACCGGTTGTTTTGCCGGACATTCCACACAATGTTCTGTTGACAGAAACCAACTCTCCTCATACGGTTCCCGGTAATCGGATAATAAATGTATCCTACATGTATCCTACCCGAATGTTGAATCGTGCAGTCAGGTCCCGCAAAATCAGCCGCCGAGTTGTTCCCGATTTGTTGACAATTTTGGTCGCCCACATCGTCTCCAATTTAATGAACTTCCTCGCCTTGCAATTGTGTAATAAGATTTTCCGTACTTGTACACATTTTCAATGTTTTTTCTACCTCTTGTATCAACTCGGGTCTTTTTCCTACCTACCCATGGTTTTGTAGACAACGAACATGTACGAAGGGAAAGAACTCTAATACACTAATGTCACGAGCCTACAGAAATACTTACCCATGTGAATAATGCCCGGAAAACACATGAATAAACGGTACCTACATCGCCCAACAAGATCATAAAACTCAGAGGCGCATATTTATTTTCTAAAATGACGTCAGCCAACGTTTGGGCAACAACCTAAGCTATAATAGATATCCTTGGGTGTGTGAAGGTACGACGTGAACAAGGATATATCATATGTTATATATATGAGTCTATCCACACTAATGAGTACCAGAAGTGTGACATGAGGGAGGAAACTAGAACACTACCATTTAACTTTTTTGTGTGTGAAATAAATACATGTAACATTCTAGTTTCCATCAGTAAATCTTTCGAGATAACTTTTACAAAGTGGTATCAATGAAACGCCTTCAAAGTGATGCTATGCATATTGTTATGGATGTGATGTGGACAAGTTCATGAGCTTATTTTATGCTACAGAAAATAAAAAAGGTGTTATAAAGGGATGTTTTTAAGCAGAATTTGGTTGATTAACTGTTAATTAATATGAAAATTTACAGCATTTGCGGTATTTACAGTTACCTTCGCATTATTGACATCATAGCAAATTGTCTTTTCAAACGTCTACTTCCCAGTATCTTATCAACATTACATTGTATTCAAATTAAATAAGTGTACGTATGTTGCTATGCTCTGTAAGCCAGTTTCCAGTATTGGGCCTGAAAGTATGAATTCCACATTAAATGTTTCAGTTTTTATAATTATAGTTTCTTTTGCATATTTGTAATCCTTTATTACCCTAGAATACAGAAATGACACTGCAAAGATAGTTCAGCTTACGATTTTGCAGATATATATTCCGAAACCTCAGGTGAAGATTTTGATGTTACAACTGTTTATGTGTTTTATTTAACGAATTCCACAGGTCTTACTTAGTCCACGAGTCTGTTTCGTATGCTTGTGACAATAACAGTAAATTGTTTGCTTGCTTCCTAGCTGCCGCCAAAGCATTTGACTGCTTATGGCATAATGGCCTATTTTTTAAACTCGCCAGCATCGGCTTTAAATCAGAGTATATTCATATTATTGCTTCTTTATATGAAAATAGGTTTAGTGCTGTTTTGCACGAAGGCTTCGTTTCTGATTTTTTCAAAGTCTGCCAAGGTACGCGTCAAGGAAGCATTATCTCCCCTTGGTTCTATACACTTTTTATTAATGATTTGTTAAATGATTCGTGCGCTGCAAAGTATTCATTTCTCATTCAAGACGTTAATGTAACTTATCCAACACAAGCTGACGATATTACGTTGTTATCGCTTTGTAAACGTGGTCTGGACAATCTCAAGGATATCTGCTACACTTACAGCTGTCAATGGAGATTCAAATACAACGCGTCTAAGTCTGTTGTGATTGTCTTTAATTAAGGTAAAAATGCTTTCTCAAAGACGATGCGGAGCTGGTCTCTCGGCAATAAAGTTGTCTCAGAGGCTGTTGGGACAAAACACGTCGGCATCTTCTTAAACAAATTCAAACCTGGCTGTCCAGATATCAATGTGATTGTTAACAAGCTACGTAGTCAATGTTTTGCCCCACTCCATTGTAACCTTTTCGGTACTGAGATCAATCCAATGACAGGTGCAAAGTTATAGAAGCCTATTTGGTTTTCTCTAACAGAAACTGATTTGTCTCGTATTGAAACTGTACATCACTTATGTGCAAAGCTCATTCAAAGTTTTCCCCGTCGCACACGATCAGATTTCGCTCTCAGTATGTTAGGCCTTACCTCAGTACACCTCGAGGCTGAGTTAGCCAAACTTTTTTTGCTGCTTTATGTAGACTAGATGCACGATTTACTGTAAAGAGATTTTTTATGTTTCGTCTTTTTCACACATATTTTAGATTTTTTCAAGGTGGAAAAGGTTTTGTTTCAGATGGTGGGAAAATCTTTCATAAATATGAATTACATGATGTATTGTTGGCCTTCTTACAAAATGGATTGTTTCCTCCTAAACAATCATGGAAACGTCTAACGAAGGGTGTTCTAATTCGTAATTACACTTATGAGTGGAGACTTTCCTAGATTTTAGGTATTTGCAATATGATATCTGTCCTTCGACTATTTGGTCTTTATCTAAACGTTTTCCTTACTTTTGTAGAACATGCGCTAATGTTGCAAAGCTCTGGATTATTTCTCAAGATTGTGAATTAGCATGTGCACACTGCCATGTGCTTGTAGCCGATGCAGTTGCACATTGTATCTTGGACTGCTCTGGCGAAGAAGTGTTAGCTTTACGCGATAACATCTTCTCCAAAATTGTCAACGACTATCCTGTTCATGCTTACGTTGCTCTGGACCAGGCGAGTCGGGACATTCAAATAGCAACGTTTATTGGCTCTCCTCCTAATCTTTTTCAAGATCTTTTTGGAGAAGACGACGATCTTTTCTTCTCTTTTGTACGAGACTGTTGCAATTTTGCAAAAAGCCTCTGCTCTTACCTTCCAATAATACATGTGTTCCTGTAAATAACTTTTTTGTATTATACTGGTTAAAGGCTATGCAATCGTTAAATGTAAGTTTGCATCATTCAATCAGCTTATTTTTCAGTCATTATACATTATTTTGTAACTGTATTACTTTTCTTATATCTATTGTGTATTTAAAATATGTATTTCATATAACTCTTCATGTTTTGAGGAATAAAGATATGAATGAATGAATGAACAGTTTTCAAATTATTCAGATGCACATTTAAGGTCACAATGAACTTCACTATATTTCAACCCAAATTGCATTTTTTTATTGTTAAAAAAACATTTTCTCTTTTGTAGCGTCATAGGACAATGAAAGTGTAACTGCAACGTTAAAGATCAACATCAACTTTGACACTGGCTGTACCAAATATATTTACAGCCTAACATTATTGAAATTAAGAAATTAAGTTTATGAGACTTCTAAAGCAGAATAAAGAGTGTCAATGTCATTTACTTTTGTAATAACCTCATAAACACCATAAAGTTTTATGTATAAAGTTTATAAAATCTAAGCATTGTAGTGCTTTTAGTTGGCATTCAGAGCCAATATGAATGCCAGCTGGAAATGACAAATTCCATGAAGAGCGCGCTTTATGTTGAATTTGCCATTTCCAGTTGGCATTCACATTGGCTATGAATCACAACTGGAAGCAGTTAAATACTTATTTTTACCATCTTAGAGTATTTTAATCTCAAAGAAAAATTTTATTTGTCGTTTGAAGTTCGTTTTTTGGTTCAAATATAGTGTATGTACTGTGCATGATTCTTCAATGAATAAAACAGCTTCCAGGGAGGGCAAGTGGTATCCTAACGTTACCATCATGGCGTCATAATGATGATGACCTCAACAAACAGGCGATGGCATTCATAGCTTATAAAGTTCTACCAGTTGTAGTAATTGGAGTACAACTTCATATCCCTTTAACTATTTACAGCTTTGTCATAAAGTAATAAACAAAATGAAACTTATATAAAGCCTTCCCCAAATAATTGTACTTTCAAATGGTGTTACGGACGTAATTATTGACTTAAACTATTCATTGGGGAAGTCAAGAAAAATATCCCAAACAAGTATTTAACTTTTACCAGTGTCAAAATTTAATCAACATAATTTGAACATGAGGCATCTATGCAATTTTATTTAGATCACGTTAAGCAAGAGATCGAGCAAAGAAATTGAGAATTTCAACTTCATTCAGGAAATCAACAGATGTCAATCATCACGACCATTACAGCGTTTTATTCTGTAGCAACGTAACTTCTTGCAGTATTGTGTGTATAATCGCTAAGTTAGTTTTACTGATTATTCCTGCAATTCCCTTTATTTTTCAATTCATTTGATATATGCATTAACAACATCCACCATCAAGCACCATGGATGTCACTTTGGACAATGACAAGATAAAATCTGCATCAAACGTCACATCCATTACAGTAGACCTACGAATAATCTCTAACGATAGTACACATGTCGAACCTCACGTTTAAAAATCTGTAGGTCTCTATAATTTATGATTATCAGCTGTGAAACGTTTCTTCGTATATGCATTGCGTAAATAATAAGCAATATCCACGATCAATATGCATGGATGTCACTATGGACAATGTATGACCAGAACGAATGTGTTTCCAACATCACATCCATGATAATGACCGTTATGTGAACAGCACTTTGGCGGGATATCGGTGCGCTATGTTTTGTTTTCTGAAAGATGTTTCCGATCCAGTTGCTTTTCCAATCATTACTTACATGTATGAATGTAACATTGTTTGGATGTCATTCAAATGTATATGTAATGGATGTGATCAGCGTTATGTACGTGATAAACTCCCCATCTTATTGACGGACAATCACTTACCTCAACTCACCATCCATGTTGACGACGTACACTGACTGCATATGTGTACTTTCGTTTTCTGGGTCGATCTAAAATTGAAACGTGTATCGGAAACGGAACGAAACCGGACTATTTCCTCACACACGACACTATTTCGTTATGGGCGTGATGAGCGTTATGTTGACGGAATCGGTTATTATTTCACTTGACTGGTAGAGTCGGTTAGTTTTCACTAATGAATCAAATTTTTAACACTGACTAATCTGAAATTATATAAAATAAAAATAAAAATAATACACATCCTGCAAATGTTAAATTCAACAGCATAATATTCAGACGCCACATAAAAGTACATTTTTTTGGCGGAATGGCACACATCCAATGATCATATATCACAAATTGTGACGAATTTAAAAACAAATTAAAGTCATAGTATACAAATGACATGTATTTTCCTCAAATTGGGTCAACTGAGCAAATTAAAATTGGCCCACAAGTAAATGTTTTCTTTATTTGTTTGACGCTATCACTTCCATGTCACTAAAGCTGTTAATAATAATTAACATTTTCTTCACTGTAACCAACATAAAATAAAAATACAGCAGTGATCAGGTCATTTTTTTTTTTTAATTTCTTCATTATATCTACAATAAAATAAAAATCCTTTCAACAGTTGATACAGGTTGATTTTCAAGGAAAAAGGTTTTTTTTCAATGTACCCCTTCTGGTACTCATTAGTGTGGATAGACTCATATATATTTACCAACCATCCTGGTTATTTTTTTTACTCACCTGAACTAACATGCGAATAATATACGTATATTCTTCGAGTCTGCCAAAATTCCCTCAACTTGCCATAGCATGAACCGTCTCCGTGCTGTGACAAGACCTTTTGATGATGAGCCTTACCCTCTCAACAATGTATTAGTATCGACGTCGTAGATAGTGGATTCGCAACCTTTCCTTTCTCAAACAAACAGTCCAACTGTACATTTTTATTGTACGAGTCCTCTTGTCCGTGCCTCAGATTATCTTATACTACATGAATACTCACTATTGGTCAGCGTCTTCTATTGCCGGTGAATAACATACGACAGCGAAACGTCCCGTGTGTGCCAGAAAAAAAATGAGGGGCTCTATAGATGGTAATTTAATAGGGGAGTAATGAAAGGACATAAATGAAATGGAACAGTTGTTTATACGAAAGCAATATATTTACATATATATATTATAGATAAACCAGCAGGAAGTGCTTAGATACACTCGGATCTAATTTCTCTTTCTCTCCTGTTATTGTCAAATATTGTGCATATTCGGTAAGAAACATGAATGAGTTTTTAGGACATTATAGAAATACTTGTGTCTGAAGCGTTATATTGAACTTAGCATCTATCTGTTTCCCTCTTTCTTTCTTTAATATATGTTTTTAGTAAAATTTATAAAGTATGAGAGATTCAAACAGATATCAAGAAAAAAAGAAATAGGAATAAAATGCTTTCTAGTAAAAGTACACTTGTAGCATATAACAAATCTAAAAAAAAAAAAGTCTGAAAATATCGTCTACATTGGTTGAAAACCCGTTCGTCCATTTTACAGCAAAATGAAAATGTTTTGCTATGAACTTGATTGTTTGTTTGGTATTCCCTTTATGGTTTATTCCCAACTATACTACGCCATCTGAGGTTTAGAGAAGGGGGGCAAACACAAGCAAAATCGTGTTTAAGACACCAATCATTTAAACTTCATTTTGCACTTGTCTGAGCGCCAAAATTAGTTCCTCGACGTCAGAAAACTTGATGTTTACACTTATGTAACAGTAACAGGCCACTGAATCCTCACAGTCTTCAGTCTTGTCTGGTCAGCAATTATTGTCAAACTTGAAAACCGCAACCTCTGTCTTCTCATTATATCTTTCTTACATTTATACACATTTTCTAAGATACTCCTTGCAAACTCTTTGCTGCTACCAAAACAACAGAGAGCATCTATGCGAATTCTTTGCGTTTACTTCAAAACACTCTATGAAATTCATGTTTGCTAACCGTTTGCCAGATCTTTTTCTATTTACGGTTTGTTTGTGCCAGATTTATGGGAAAGCATTTAATAAGGGATAACATATACAAGTAATAATTGTAGATTTGTATTTTTTTTACTACATTTTGAGAACATGTTTTATCTTGTCGGGGGGAAAAGGCTAACTATGCTGGTTGATTAGGGAGCATTTTGACTAGGTGCTTTTACTCACTGCATGTATCCTAAGAGGAGACTAATGTTAGAACCCTCTGCAGAATTGGAGATTTGCTTTTGTGCCCAAAACTTGGAGAAACAAAAGGGATCAAAATGAATCTGCTGCACCAATTGCAATATTTGGGATATTTATATTTTTTTCTACTTCTAGCTACCCTTTATTTCCTAGTGCCTTGCTTGGCAACACTTCACTTGTGGCTTTAATGTTGAACGTTCGCCCAGGTGAGGAAGGCAGTGGGTTCTGTTCCAAGGCCGGGCCATACCAAACTCCGTAAGAATTAGTAGTTGTTATTCACTGCTTATCGTTCAGCATTTAGGGTAAGGGCAACTAGTGCATGTTTTTTTCAGTGATGTATCACTATAAAGTCGGCATCAGATCCGCGCTATCACAAGGAGGCAATTACACCATACATAACCTATCTCCAGCACACATACACACATCCAATGCATGCACAACACACGTGGAGACACGTACTTAAATTACCTTAGCTATTAATATGAGTACATTAATCAAAATAAAACCAAAGCAAACGAAACATAGAAATATAAATTTGTGTATGTTGTTCAGAAATCCTCACATAAATATAACCATAAATGTAAAACAGAAACCGAAATTAGGAAATGTTATTACGTCAATTCTTCAAAAATTCATCAGACCCATTTTACGTAACAGAAAGAAGAAATGCTGATGTGTTTCATGCTGCACAATATTTTATTTTTTTCAGCTGGATTTCCTTCCTTATACAATACTATCAATACAAACAGATAAAACGACTTTTCATAAATTTTTGAACAATACTATTAACGCTTCAGAGTTTCGACGATGTCATTCCAGATATAAGCTCTTTAACCATTTCTGTCGCTTCAACAGCGGTTCCCCAGCTAAGAGCCACACCATCGGACCCATGACCATAATTATGTACAACCTGAAATAGCAAAACAAATAAATAAACAAAACGAAATAGAATACAGAACACAACGAATGATTTCCAATATCTTTTGTTTGAACTACCAATAAACATTTTCAATGTATCTTTTATCTAATTCTGGGGATATTATACTGTATAAATTACACCAGACAGCTTTGTCGTGTAAAAACGAGGATTTAATAACTTAAAGCATTACACATTACACGTAAATACATTATCAGATATGTACCTTCAATATTCCGTCTGGCAGCCGCACAATCTCCTTCTCCAGTCTGATAGGGTCTCGCATGGGTCTTAGACCTACCCAGTCTCCTATAACCCTCGCTCCCTGTATCGGACAGAACAATAATGAAATACATACAGAACGGACAAGTCGATGAACAACAGTGATGGTCTTTAAACGCTTGCCTTACCTTTTATTGATGTGAAAAATAGTGTAAGCTTATGTTAAAATTGTAAGTCATTTTGTCGTAGTACGCATCACTTACATTTTACTTGAAAATATGGACCGGCGTAAAAGTTTGAAGTCACTTACCTGGTTCATCTACAGATAAGATAAAAATTGAGTATTCAAAATGTATCTGGTCTATCAATCAATTAATGTTCCAGTGATTTGTATTTTTGATAAATTGACATATCGGTATTACTTTTGAAATTGTATGGCCTTATTGTACTATTTGAAGACTAATGATAATAGTATTGTATAATGCTGTACCACTAATAATGATAAAAGAAGACAGCGAGATTGATTTAAAGGTCATTGCGGATTTACGTAACAACAGAAGTAACTATTTTTGGTAGGAAACCTTGAATACATACTGACCATATATATACCAGAGGTTAAGTAAGTCTATCTTTAATGCAGGCCATACATCGAGACATCTGTCAAGGATTCCTTGTTTGACGGAAGGGTCTGGCGTCATGGAATAGTTATCTTTATCCTTAATTCCGCCAAGCACAGTAAAGTCATCGCTGTAAAGAATCAATTTATAGAACGTTATGTACGCTAGTATTGGCCGGCCACAGTACGAAGGGTATACAGTTTACAAAAAAACATTTCCAACACCGTTTCAAAGGTTGATTGATAGTAAGAAAGATACAGTTGAGGGATCAATCAACATTACACAAAGTGCAATGTGCGAAATCATTAAGTATTTCATGTTATCTAATTCCAAAGATGCACTGTCGTATTGAATTTTATCATAAATGGTAAACAGTTTTTATCGTTTAGAACTGACGTATCGAGAAGATTCTGAAGCTACCATGAACTGGTTTAAGCTAATGTATTATTTCAAAACTGTTTAAAACAGAAAATATGCTTTGATAACGCGCCTCCTCGAGACTTGAGAAATGCCGGATTGATTTACCTTGGTAGAATGTATGTACTTGTGTCAGTAAAGACCCAGTCCTTAACCCAGGGGGCCTCGACCTGTACAGAACAATGGTATTAGTCAATTATCATCCAAACAAAGTCTTGTGGTGTGATACTAGTCACGTGATGCAGGTATCTAATCTTACAACCAATTTGTTACATAAGAAATAGATGACATATATTATTGTACCTCCTCCACATAACACCTTGTATCGTCAAATTATTAGATTATATGAATCAAATAATTACAAAATGAACAATGACGTACAATAATTGAATATGAAAATAAGTCATTTGTTCTTTATTTGAAATGTTGACAAACACTTTCATGTCAGCCGGCCGCCGTAACATTATTTTGCAAAACACAAATACGGATGTCAACACCAATTTCGGCACAATAAATGACGTCGGCATCATGTTACGTTGAAATGTACATAAGGTTTCTACAACCTACCCTGATGACCTGTCCATTTAGCGGGTATATAATCTTGTCTCCACAAAGCTGCTGACTGCCCAGTCCGGAACAGTTGACCACTATGTCACACTGACCGTATAACTGTAATTAAACAACTTGGTTTAGTAGGAACAGATAAAGGGATTAGCTCCCTTTCATAATCATTTTATGATGACAGTTCATCATTCAAACGTACTTATAAAAAAATCAAAGGGATCGGAAAAAAATTTCTGGCAACTAACTAAACCTTCTTTTGACAATACAGGAAGGAGACAGAATAGGGAGTGAGGTAAGAGGTGGACGAAGTATATAAGGGGAGAACTGTTATAATGTCCAATGGACATTTGTTCGGAATGAAAGATTTGCACCTTTCCACATGGACATGTGGTAAACGGAAACTCCCGAACGTTATAATGTATTTAAACAATCAAAAATTGATTTGATAATTTGTTCGATCTTATCATATGTAGAAAATATTTAATTATACAAATAAATATTTCGTGTATAAGCATACTTCACTTAAGCTTTCTATTGTCCTTTTCTCCACCTTGCCACCATTATCTGTGAATCTGAAAAATTTAAGTATGCACATGTATATCAATAACTGACCAATAACAGCAATGCTTTGAAAGTTAGAAATAACATGCTATTCTCAATACTGTATAGCATTTTAATTTGAACGGGAGTAAATTTCGCGACTTTATTGATGGATCACATTTTTATGATCAAGATACATATACCGGTACTCCTTTCACAATCTTTCAAAAAGACAAGACAATGCAACGAATATATATTTTGTAAATAGAAATGCAGCTTTTGTCGAATTGTATACGCTAAAATGAAGTGAAGCCAGAAATAGATATAATTATTTACAATTGATATCGTCTCTTAATGCTTTGTGTTATTATAACACTGACCCTCGCTGGCAGATGATAGTTCTATATGCTTAATTCGAAATAAATATTATTTCAAATAACAAGCCATTCGAATTGATATGTTTCGCGTGTGTCCTGCTTTGACCATCAATGCACATGGTAAGTTTGGTTGGTCTAGCGCTCATAGTTTCTAAGAAACTAGCTTAAATGCAAAACGTAATGTTGATGGAGATGCTGACAAAGTCAATGGATCATGAAAGGTAGGCCGCATCCAGCATTTGATTCATGGGTTAGGATGTACAATGTACTACCTAAGATGCATATATGGTCCAAGTTTGGTTGGTTTAGCACTTATACTTTCAGTGAAACTAACTTAAACGCAAAAACTTAAGTTGACACCGCCGTCGTTGCCGCCATCACCGTAAAATGCAACACATTAGTCTCGCTTCCGCTATTTCGTGGCGGCGAAACAAAAATGATAATAAACTTACACACTAAACATCTACGTATTTTAATCACTGACGACTGCTAGGTGTCGTTTAATAAAGTTTTCCCTATTAATACTGCTTTAACTTTGGAAAACCCCAGCTTGTACCCCTATGTGCACCATTGTTTGACGCATGCAGAATTACTTTATAATTCTTAAATTTGAATACTGTTTATGAACGTATTTACACTAGTCAGTATAACAGTGAAAAACATATTTCCGATCTTATTTAGTAACGATTGATAAAAACTTACTGTTTCATGAGCCAGAACAGATACTTCCTCATGTTTGTGATAATAGTTGTTACCTCGTATCCGAATCTGCAATGATAAATGATTATAGAAAAAACTACATCATGTCTATCAAATTATTTAGAAAATATGTCAAACATGCCAACTCGCCAACAGTTAAGTTACATAAGGTAATCCGTCTAATATCCCTTTCTATATTTGTTTGTGGTTTTACGTTTTGTTACAACACTTAGATCATATGACGACGGTTGTCAATTGAAATACACTGAAATGATAGCTAAGATTGGAGGAACACGACTAAGGTTACATGATATCTAGTGTAAGCATATAGGTCGTATGACGACAGGTATGAAAGAGATCGCCTTGGTACGGCGGCTGGTTTCAAGTGAGACGACATGCAAACGTAGACACAGAAAACGATCACAAAAATGTATTATCATGAGAAAAGCACCAGGTGTGATTAAAATAAATAGTGTAGATTCTTATAAATACGTTACATGACAATCAATATAGTAGATGTTATGTTTGTTATTTGTGTTCTATTAATATTTTTAAAACCTCCACTATATCAGACTTAACATATAGGTTTAATATCTTCACGGATATGTTCACACACGTTTCGGGAACTTACGAGACGAAATGCTCAATGATATGAGCAAATTTTTACACTGCAAGTTTTACAATTTTTCTATTTAGTTGTAGAAGATTATTTTGACGTCTCTTTTAATTAAGGAGTATTATATTACGCACATCTCCTGTTTTGTCGCAACAGTAGTTAAGGCCGATGACCAAACAGAGAACACACACGAGAGTTCCATGTTACTGGCGCTTATATATGATCAGGGGTCGAGTTACTTTTCGAAATATTCAACTCCACATAATGTTTTCTCTATCACACAAATCATGGCAGTGGTACAGTATTTACATGTGGGTGTAAACCATTCTTTTGGATATTAATCTGCACTATTTCTACCCTAACCTGACGATGATGATTATTTTAGTCGTATTTGTCAGCATTTATAGTTTTGTAAATGTCATGGCATTGATTATTTTATTTATCTTTAACTAATTAAAGAAATGTATGAATGAGTTGTGTGTTTATTTACCGAAATTTGCTGTTGACTCCTAGCCTGGTAAGTTCGTCTGGCAGCATTTTTCTGTAGGAGTACACCATACTGGCATACAAGGGTGTCTGTCGAAACGTAAATCAGAAATGAGAAATTGCAATTAAAGCTTTTTATAAAATTGTTATATCGCTAATTTTACCAAAAATGTCGGAATACAATGACGCTACACCCCGATCAAATATTAAAAATGTTGCTTTGTATATGAATCTATACCTTTTCCTCAGTTTTGACAAACTTGTATCCATGTGATACTGTATGTCCAGTGGTACTGGCGAGGTCTGAGGTTGCCAACTGGGAGTATACATTCCAAGACTTCTCGCACCATCGTCTGGAAGATTATTTATTAAGTGAATAATTGTTTTATGGAGTAATTGACTGTTCGCCATAAAGCACTATATCCTATTGGGTATAAAACAAATTCAAAATATTCGTGTTTCAGAATAAGTAACATATTTAAAAGAGGCCATGGCAGGTCGCCTGCGTATCAGTGGTCGGTTATATGCTATCTAATTGTCTGATTATACTTTTAAAAATAGCAATGAAGTCAAATTTGTACCAGCCTTTCAGATTCCGCTAAATATTTTATGTGAAAGACATTTAGGCATTGAACTGCTTTCAGTATGCCGTATCCCTCCTTGTTGCTCAGAAGACGGTGTTTTTACATATTTGACCCCTTTGATCTTGAAAATGATAAATGGTAAATAATAACAAGAAATACGACAAAAGAATCAAGTACGTCAATTCAGAAAAAAAATTACATTTTATTGGGCAGCATGACTATTTCGTTGTTTCTTACGTCATTGTTTACGTCACTTGTAAGATAGTGCTTTATCAACTACATACTATACTTTGTACAACGTATCAGTGGCATGGAAAAAACAACATTATCACGGGTTGTCAGTAATACTCGAAAAAGGATGATAAGGACTTGGTTATAGATTTTCTCATTTATGTATGGTATTTTTGTCTAAAAAAATGCCTGATCGCGCCAGGTAACGTTATGAACCGGAAAAGGTATCCAATTAAAAGTGTTTCTCTTAGGAAATGTGTCCGTCATAAGCAAATGATTAGAAAATAATGAAACAAGATTCTCAAGTCAGTCAGTATAAAATCGACTTTTTGTGATTGGTGAGATATATAAGGTAGAAGTATAATATTATAAACAGTTTATCGCACTATGTTTTCAGGATTTGTCCAGAGAATTGTTTTTGAACGGTCACACGTTGATAAAAACTCACGGTGGCCTCTTGATTTGATCCGTGTGCTAGTGATGCAGATAGTGACATATAAATATATATATATATAAAGACGACATTTCAATTTTATGTTCATCAATAGCCGGTTATTAGTACATGAACATGCACATATATATATGTATATAAATAATAAGATTGTGGTTACTTTAGTGTATCAACAGGTATCCCAGGGATGGCTTTTGCTGTAGGGAGGAATATTCCTCCAGCTCCAATGCTTGTCGTTTTGTCATAGAACCTGTCAGCAACGACCTTAACCTTTACCCCTGGCAGAACCCTTTGGATATTAACCGCTGTAGAGAGGCCTACCACTCCGGCACCAATCACTATGATGTTCACCATTATCCACGAACCAAGGAGAGTCAAGGAGTCTCACTTGCCTTCGTAGGATATGTCGTTAAAATGTCATGTTATTATCAGCATAAACCGCGTTATGTTGATATTTGATAACGATAATAACGTAATGTGTAGGATCTGCTGTCCGCTATCAGCGCGTGACGTTTCATTCGGAATACATGTGTCTGCACTGTACGGGATATAATATAACTTTAACATATTTATGCATATTAAAGAAGCAATCTAATTTACCGGCAAAAATGCCTATATTCAGTTACACATAACATTTCCTATTCTACTACAGTCAACCATACAAAACAGATAAGTCTTGAATAAGCGTGATTTTGTATTGTATTTTATGGCAATCAAATTGATATTTTTCGAGGAGATATAACGCTCCTGAATTTCATAATTTTGATATCATATGTTTTCATACTATCTCATATGATTAGCTATCTTTGGACGATTTGATGACATCTGGGCCGCTACAAAAAAAATGAAATGAAATAAATCAGCTCGCTGAAGTTTACAGATCGACCTATTTTGAAATGGATTCTGAAACTCCAAAGTATCGAGATAAATAGATTCGGAAATTTTATAACAATTCTTATAAACAATATTATAACGCTGGCTCAACTTGTTGCTCGAACAAGTTATTATCTAACCTCTTTACTACTTTTATAAGTACTATTATTATAGTGTGTACTGCTGAAGTGGAATTATTGGAATGTGAATTCTAGATCAATCAAAACTTTTGATCAATCCTTAAAATTCTCTCCTTAAAAACGATTTTTTAATCAGAACAGAATTTTCAATCAGAACATTTGACCATACACTATATATATCTTAAAGCAAACCTGCATTTAACATCTAGAATCTGATATCACTGTTCTGAATCTGTTTCTACTGTTATAATACAATGTACAAATACAGATGGTATAAATTCAGAAAATTTCAACTAAATATCATAAAAATACATTCATTGCAAGATGTAACTATAAATCAATAGTTTTTCCAGTCAGGTGGTAGTTAGCGGTCGAAGACTAGGTACGCTTCATTACTTTATACTATAAATAAACAATTCGTCGAGGACACGAAACAATGTAGATTCTAATTAAACCTTTAAATGACAGCTTAATTAAGCAGGGAAATATTACGTTTGTTTGTATTTTAAAATGTCCAATACGCCAGACTTAACATATACATTTAATATAAGTATAAGGATGCGTAGTCATCTCAGATAGATATGTTCACACTGGTTTCGCGAATTTGTGGGACGAATGATGTGACATAAATTATACACTTCAGTTAAGACTTTGCACTTGTCAATTCAATGTGTAGAAGAACAATAGTTTGACCGTCATTTACTAACGGGATTAACCTCCCCTTTTGTTTCAGCAGTACTTTAAACCAATTTGGATTTCTAACTTTTCTCGAAGGACGAAACCGCTGCATAGCGCAGTGTATTCATTTCGGCAACCTGTATATATTACCAGATTTTATATGCGCCATCACATGCGTGTTTTCCGTTCATCATACAAGATGGTAGGCTCCGCTGGTGGTAATTCGGATGGCCACAATTATTTCTTTTGAGTAGTAGCATGGTTCATAATATACACACTTTAACTATTGTCAATTCGAAATCAACCCATTCTCTTTTAATTACTGAAATCCATGTGGAATTGAAGGGTTCTACGCACCTCTCTCTTTTTTCAACAGTTGTTATGACCCATTTCGAACTGTACCACTTTTACCCCAAGCATTACCGATGAGTCCCGGAAAAACAGCTGTATGATGCAGTGTATTCATTGTTATAAGTACAATCCCATGTGTTTTGTCCTGAACTCATCCTTAATCTGACGGTGACCTATAAAAACATACATGTTGCAACAGCAAGTTTATATGTCGCTCGGCACAACTTTTACTTAACCTCATTCATTGATAACGGTTGACATTGTGATTTGCGATGGTCTGTTTAATGGTAAAAACGTAACTGTTTGATAAATTACGTTTTAAAGTGAATGTTTATAAAACGTTGACCTTGTCAGTAATTATTACAGAGACCATCCACTGTGTAATGCTGCTTACCGAGTGAAAACGACATTGAATTACAACAAACATAATAACAGTACAGAGGCGTAGTTAGTGTGTAGTACTCCGTCGTATAGGGACTTAATTTATCACAACAACCATTACCCGACAAAGACGGAGTTAATGTCTTGTACTCCGTTTTGTAAGGCGACTTAATCACAACAAACGTTACAACATGACAGTATCGACCTTAGTGTCCAGATCTCCGTATATGTTGTAAGTGTCTAAGATACAAAACGAATGATGTCTTACATGAAAAACAATTAACAACAAGGCCATCGTTGGACTATTTTAATAAAACAAAGCATAACATTATTACATACGAAAAGAAACATATAATAAAAACCAGATCTTTAAAACTATTAATATTTGGTTGATAGTTTTGAACAGATTCATGCATACATATTTATAAAAAATTTAATTAATTTCCTGTGAAAGATAAATTTACTGTTTTCAGCAAGCAGTCAGTCCGCCAAGGTACAAGTAGTACAAAGAAAATGCTCTATACCTACAACTAACTGATGCAGTTAGGTACTTGTATATAAAAACAAGGGATTTCTTGACAAGAGATTTTCTGATAAAGCTCATATTCTCCCATTGCTTATTTAGTTCTTTCACATTAAGAATAAAATGTATTACCTATTTTTCCATAAAATACAAAACCAATGAATACTGAATACCGTCACATAGTGTTAAATGACTTTGAAGTTTCGAAGCACTGCCACTGTTGGTGACAAGGCAGTTATCATGTCAAAGGTCTAAAAATAACATAAACAGGATTGTATATGTTTTCCCGTAGAGTGTATTAGATTTAATTCATTCGTTTGGCAAACTATCTCAATAGTTTCACACGCGCCCACATTCAACAGGAAATCAGAATATTTTTTTCTTTTTTAGAGTGCCTTTTATATTAATATTTGTTGCTATTATCCATATAACCTCATTTCTGATGAGGAAAAAGACGAACGTTCAACAGCATTGAACATTTCAGATATACACACTTGTACATTAAAACATTATTTCATGACTTCATCTTCTCAGAGTTTAGCATGAACGGATCCATACAGCATTTCCTTGACTAGTCTGGCAGCCTCCAAGCTGGTGCCCCAACTTAACGTAATGCCGTGTGCTCCATGACCATAGTTGTGGACAATCTGAAATGTTAAATGTTAAAAACAAAACTTTTACTTAAAAGCTGATATTTTAGTTTGCAATGTAAAATGACACGTCATAAAAAAGAGTAAAAAACCAAATGTCGGGAAAATATTTTGCTGAAATAGTTGAATGAAATACAAAGCTCTAGGATTCTATCCTAGCACGTCAATAAATTCATTAACATTACTGTTTTTCTTCATATAGTTGACGTTTTTTCAACCTATTGTTTTGTTCTTACTTGAGTATGTATTCCAATTCATTGCATTGTGATAGATTTGGATTCGATAAATCACTGTTTTGTTCATGACTACATATAATAATGATATTAAAGAACATTCATGTGCTATACATTTATGTTCCTATAGCACGTTTATTAGAGAAAGTGTTGAACAGAAATACCTGTAAAATGCATGGGTACCTTTTTTGTAATAACTTTTGGTTAAATTAAGAAAAACTTACTAATATACCTGATATAAAGTTGCGAAATGTCTATGCAAATCATATAATTATGAAACAGTTTGATTAATAACACTTTCATAACTTAATTTCTGACTTCTAAATATGACTTCAGAACAGTAAGCAGACTGAGGTTCAAATGTTTGTAATTATCTTTCTGAATGGCTTTTTTAATAGGTACTGCAGAATAAATACATTTTTCAGCGGGTTAATATTTCTGAAAAAAAAACACACTTTTTTTTCCTCCAAAAATCATTGTATGAACATTTCCGACAGCATTTTATGGAATAATATAAAGACAAAATGTGATACTTGCCTTCAGAACGCCACCTGGTAACGGTATCGATTCCTTTTCTAGTCTCAGAGGAGTTCGGGACGGTCTTAGTCCTACCCATTCACCAATTATTTTACCACCCTACAACACAAGCGTGCAAGTGAAAAATGATAAGCAATCGACAATAACGAAAAATTTGTCACAACCGTATTGTGTATATATTTTTACTTTTATTTTACAGAGATCTTAAGACGTATTTTGTTAATACATATATGCAGGGCTAACAATAGAAAAGAAGTGCATATTTTAAAAAGTTGCAGAATAAATGGTTACAAGGGAAATGACAAATGTCAAACGAAATACCATAGATGCATATTCAATTTTGTTCATCTTAGCAGGCGACACGAACATACAAACAAACAAACAAAAATGCTGCAATGGATGTACACCAGATCAAGTGAATCGTACATAGTGTGGATATCCTACCTTAAGGGGTGGCCACAGGTTATAGCACCTCTCCAGTATCCCCTTCCTGTCCTCTGCATCCACAGCCAGATCTGACCTCCCGTCTTGTCTTACTCCTCCTATAGCAACGAACTCAGCACTGTCAAAGTTTAGATCAAAGTTAAAATTTAGTTTCTTTATTACTTAAGCAGTTTCCTATGCTCATAAAGTTTTAAAGGAAAGATGAATCAATTTTAAATAGAAATCGCACATATAATGCCGCAAATTATCATTGAAATAACACATATCATACAGTAAATTATCAAAGAAATCACACAAGAAATAACACATATCATACAGTAAATAATCAGAGAAATCACACAAGAAATAACACATATCATACAGTAAATTATCAAAGAAATCATACATTGAATGTCCTCTGCTAAGTGTTTTTTGGTTTTATGTTCTCGCAAAACGAAGGTCTTATGTCCACGGATAGTAGGGCCACTCCAGTCCCATCTCACTAAAATGTCATGATCTGGACACATTACATGACTCTCTACCCGATTACATTAAAATGAAAAAGGGTTAACCTGTCCTAACAGCAACACATTCAAAGCCGAACGTCAAGCAGAGAAAAGCAAAGCCATTATTTAGTATTATGGGTTTCCCGGGCAGAAGGTATAACCCTTCGCCTTATGAAATATAACTGGAGGCAGTTAATTATATTTGTTTTCTGTAAATATGGTGTAACTTACTTTGGTAAAACGTATGCACCATGGTCCGTGTATATCCAGAAGTTTATCCAAGGAGCCTCCAACTGTAATGGGGATGAATGAAGATCTTTACACAGATTCAAATCAGACTAGTAGCAGATAAGTGTATACACACTGTCAGGTCATAAGCAACGCCGTGCTTTTTTAAAAAGGATTTTTTTTTTTGGATTCACCATCATTCTCTTTATTGACAAGGTTTTCCCCCTTCAGTACCTATATTTTCATCAACATATGATTGATGTAGTTTAATTTCGTAATGTAACTCGTAAATCGAACTAAAAAGATAATAAAATACGTACCCTGATAAGCTGCCCTCGAACGGGATGTATATTTTTGTCCTGCACTAGCTCCTTACTACCCAACCCCGTACAGTTGACGACCACATCATATGGGCCTCCTGCAAACTGAAAAATAAGAAGTCAATATTTGTAGAACTGACAGAAATTGACAAGGAGACAAATTCGTACTGGCTTCCCACAACGTGTGTATAATCATTGGAAATGCCGCCGAGAGTAGGTAGTAATAGACATCATGAGTAGAAGGTAAGTCGTACATGAGTGATTATGACATCATTAACAGCAAAAGCAAATATTCATGACATCATACGAATGAGGTATCGACATTATACTTGTTTAATAATGACACCATAGAAAGGTTGTCATGACAAAATACGAAGGTAATGATGACGGCATAAGTAGCTCGTATCAGTGATGAAAAAGAGTAACCTACATGTACTAAAACAATCCGTAAGATTGAAACATAATCATCAACAAATAACTTAATCGAAATATATGTTAGGAATATATCAAAAATACCTAACTTACCACTTTCAAATCGTTTACTTTTCTTTTAAGTATTTTCCCTCCGTTCCTTACAAATCTAGAATGAGAATTACATATTATCATTTAAGTTTACCGATATTATGAATCCTGTCAGAAACAAATTATTCCGAAAACAACATTTTAATTGCACAAAATCATATTATTAAAAAGCACCTTTTTTTAATTTTGAGAAATACAATAAATATTTTCTTCTGTTGCGGTAGCTTAATACCGGCTAAACGGAACAAAACTAGACATCGATTCTTACGCACAGCCAAAGTGAATGTGGTCAATTTTATGGGCAAATGAAACAGCTAACATCGGATAATTTAACTGTGTCGAATTGATGTACCATATATTTTATATATAACATCGACATAAATATAATCACTAAATATAAATTAAGTGTGTAACCCAACATGTAACACACATGCAAACTGACTTTTAGGCTGTACCATTTCTTTAGATTTGAAAGCGTTTTGCTTCAGTCGTTATGCAAACTTACTTTTCCATTAACCAAGGAAGGTATTTTGACATCTGTACTATTATGCTCGTTAATTGGTACCCGTGTCTGAAATCGAACATAGGAATCATATACATATCTAAAATCGTGGGCAATCAAATCTGTGTAGCGTTTGATTATCATGGTTAAACACATTCAATATATACATGTCTTGTCTGCCTGCAAATGGTAAGCTTTTTCGTTCCTTGTTCCGCCATGTTCAATGGAACATTTATATGACATAGGTTAATCATAAAAACTGATTTTTTCGTGAGGTAGTACTGTAATACCTCAATTTCTGAATCACTTCATTTTGTTTTGAGAAAATATCCATTCTGTAAGGTTATATTTTGATTTAAACATATTTTATTTGTATCAAAATATATACATTGGGATTGGGCACAAGTTTTCTAACTTATATAAAGCCCTTTCCCAATAGAATTTAACAATAAGAGAATACAAGATGACATATATATACATCATTTTTCAAAATAAACGAGAGAGAGAGGATAGATAGAGAGAGAGAGAGAGAGAGAGAGAGAGAGAGAGAGAGAGAGAGAGAAACTTTGATTATTATTATGATTTTTCTTTTTTTTTAAATGTGAACAGATCTTTTCGACACCGACGGCAGAAGTTTACACTATACACAGGTTAGATGTGGATATTGTAGCTAATTAAGCGCGAAAATATGCTATTGTGGAAATTCTGACAGATTATCAATCATCTACTGCAGAGGAATTGCCAACATGAACATTTCTTTCATCTGAAAATGAATATTATAATTCATGATTTTGTTTCTAGTTTAAAAAAATAAATTAATAAACAATCTCACACAGAATAGCTTTAAAGGTTACCTGGACTGAACAGATCCTTTGATCCGACTTACCTGTATTGTGCCATGTTGAGTTTTGTGAGCTCTTTTTGAGACAGCTCTCTACAGCTAAATATGACGTCCTCGTAAATAGGATTCTGGAATAGGAAATGGACTAATAATTCACGCTAACTAAAAAATCATGACATTGTGTATGTCTAACTTACATGTAGCAATTTTCGATGGTCAAACCCGAATATTTTGGGATGCAAAATCTGGCGATACGTATCTATAACTCCACTCAATGCTGTCATTATCGTATGAAACTAGATAAAAACATATTTCTTATCGGTTGATACCTTGTTTCACTTTTGAAATTTTGTTTTACAGCAAATAGCGCAAAGCAACATATTCAGTGAATCAAACCACTTACAGGCAATCTGATTGTAACATCGTTTTTTATTCTTTCTCGACAATAGGTCGTTAGAATCACAATCTTGTAATATAAGTCTACCTGTAACTTCTGTTACAAACATAATCATTTCTGACGCTACGACCGTTACCCACCTCTATCTTCTCCTGGCTGAATATATAGCCAGGCATCACGATGTGGCCAGTAGTACTGCCGAGGTCAGACAGGGCAAGTTTGGAGAAAAAATCCCACGTGTCTTGAGACCATCGTCTTAAGAAATAAAAAAGAAACAATATAATTGTGATTACCAAATCTCTCAAACCTCACAAAACGCGTAATAAATCTGTAAAACATCTCACTGATGTATTACATATATTTGAGTTCTCGGGCTTGTTTCCCATTCCTCTGAATGCATATGTATGTAATAAATTATTTGAAAAACAAACAAATGACTGTTTAAACTAATCACGTGTAGTGCTTTCATTGCTTATAACAAAGGACCAATCAAGTTGTTTAATTTTCAACCCAAATATTTAAGTATGAATTATGTTCCAGGTGCATCATATCTCTAAAAGAGTTGTGAAGGAATTCCTTATTCGACCCTATTTTCCCTCACCGTATAACATCAGCAGGTACCCCTGGTATGGCTTTCTCTGTAGGCCTGAAAATACCACCCGCTCCTATACTAGTGGTGTCCTTTTCAAATTTGTCGGCGATAATCGTTATGTCACATCCGGGAATGAGGTTTTCGATGTTGATGGCAGTCGACAGGCCTATAACTCCCGCGCCTATAACAGCGATCTTCGGCTTCATTTTGTTAAGTATTCACCTGTATAAATTGATAAAAAGACACGTATATAATATCTATCAATAGTGCCGCTGACTTAATTTTGAATTATACCAGCCGTTTATACCAAGTGCTACGTCTACATATTTACTGTAGCGTGTAATGTTGAATTAGACACAACTTCTGTTATGTATAGCTTAAATGTCACATTTATTTGAATATATTATATAAACATTTAAAGGAAAACTGTCTTTATTTATTCCTTTTTGTACAGGCTTGCTTTCAGATTTGAGCGAATATCTAACGAACTGTCTCCTACATGGGTGATGTAATTGTGAAGTATTGAGGACCACAAGATGTCGATGAATAAATAATGCTTTTAAAAGTAATATTCATCTGCACTTAAAACACGTTGAAGTCCTTACAAGTTTCTATAAATACCTCATAGTTACATTAAATAAACAGTCGTATTACTTATCGACGATATCAATAGATGATAACGTTACGTATTTTCCAAACAAAACAAAATAAAACGACTGCCTTTAGCACAGTGTTACCGTTTCCATTTCCGACAACACTGTCAAAATATATAGACAGTAGAACAGTACCGAACATAACTCATTTGGTGCGGTATTTTCCAAACCCAGCATGATATTATTAAAACCTCTCGACATATGTGTTTATGTGTGTATACATTGGTTCATTCAGACTCATAATATGTAACGATTAGCATGTCATAATAACGACAAAAATGTGTTGAATAAAATTAATATATATAATCGATAAAGAGTTAATATTTTGTGTAATGTATTATGTACCAGCATAATATAACACAATCAAACTGTCCCTGCAGGTAGGGCGTAAGAATTGTACCTGCTGCCCCCATTGCATGATCGTAAGAGGCGACTAAATTTGGGATATTATCTTTTCTCTTCTTTCTTAACAACTTTCTTCTTCCTAGTGTCTCCCTTGACAGTACCTCACTTTTGGCCTTTAGTTGAGCGTTCGCCCCTGTGAGGAAGGCTTTGGGTTCTATCCCCTGGCCGAGACATACCAGTCTGTAAAAATGGTAGTTTCTACTCCTGCTTAACGCTCAGTAATTTAATAGTGTAAAGACAGGTTCGCCCGTTGTCAGTATAATGTGACCGGTGGGGTGTTCTACTGGGTGTCTCCGGTAGTATGTTTCAGTGAGGTAGCACTATAAAGTCGGCATCAGTTCCACGATATCACAAGGAGACAAACACGAACATATCGCAGCCTCCCAAAACACACACGCATACACTACACGCATGCATCTTGCACACAGGGGAGACCGTCCTTAAATGACCATAACTGTTGATAGGACGTTAAACAATACTAAACCAAACCAAACCAAAGAATCAAACTATTGGAAGAGTTAAAAAAATCAGTTGTATATTGATAAAAATGTTCATAAAATAATACAATTTTACAATGTTAGTTAACACCTGTTTCTAATGTTACTAATCCTCCATAATTGTCGTTTGGTCTCCCTTCATCGATCACTGGCTGTAAGTGTAAAACTTTCAAAATAATGTACTCGGGTTTAATCATAACTAGTTTCGGTATTTGGCATATTGGTAGAAAGGTCGTCTCGGAAGCAAAAGTGGTGCTAATGGGGTTCTATTCCCAAGCCGAGACATATCAAGGTACTTAAAAATTGTAGCTGTTATTCCCTGCTTAGCGTTCAGAATTTGGGGTAATAACAACAACTGATTCACCCGTTGTCAGTATAATGTGAGCGGGCGGAATGCTGTGCTGGGTGCCTTCAGCATATTATTTCAGTGATCTAACACTATAACGCCAGCGTCAGATCCGTGCTTTCACCAGGAGGCATATATACAAACATACCCTGTCGCCGGCACACTTACTCAACACACAAGGAGGTACGTCCTTAAATGACCTTAGCTGTTAAAAGAAAATATAGATAAAATATAGTAAGCATTACTAAATCAATATGCTATATATTTTATTGTTTTTTGCTATTTGAATATTCATTTCCCCCTTGATTAGCTGACATGGTAGCATTTAAATATCAATCTAATCAGATGTGTTGGTGTTACGGTACAAACATATGTTGCCATGGGAATTTGAACATATGCAATAACGAAGAGTAGATCAAATCTAAAAGCATCCCTTTGAAATAGACATATTCCAGATACATATGTGACATAGGTATATACATTGTATATTATATCATGATCCCATACAGCGAATATCCAGAGAAAATCGATAAATGTATATTTTCCTTATTAAATATAGGTAGGTTACTTTAAATATTAACGTAGTAGACTTGCTAAAGTTCGAGAAATATGTTAGGGAAATGAAGCTAATTGATTTAAATGTGTGTGGTGTTGATAACATTTTTGTAAAATGGTTATCCCCGCCATAAAAAGACACATTAAACATTCAAATATATATAAGATGATTTGCGATAATGTTTCACTATATGAATAATTTTATAAAGCGATAGTTATTTTCCAGAAAGAAAGAAACACGTTCTGAACTTTCCATATCTATTGGCAAAGAAAGCGGTTATTCTAAACTAAAGTTTAATGACTATAATCATGATAATAAGTAGTTTAATAATTAGGATCGGACTATATTATGTTGTTATGTTTTTTTCAAACCATTATCAACTTTTCATGCTATTTTAGGAAAATGAAGAATATTGACTGCTCACGTCGAGATTTGAAAGTAGACTCGCTCATCACACGATGAAACTACGTTCTTGTAATTGAAAGTAGATTATAGTCCCTCTGTAGGGTATTCAAAACGCAATGTATTACTATAATATTTGTATATTAATGCATAACAAAATACAAGTTTCAATATAATGCTTCCAAATCGATAATATGTATAATATAACCATGCACGTGCAGAGGAATAATTCTACTTCACAATAGACATGTGTTATCAATACGATAATAGTGTCATTTATGAATAGTAAAAGCATTTCTAAATACATTCATGAAAATGTCAGCATTTCATACATGAACATGTTTAAACATACAATTAATATATCTACCCGCATCCAAAGTACCCATGTACGTCAACGAAAATGGTACATATTTACAATCACCGTTTTGACTATGCAAAAATAAACAAATATATGGCACTCGATTGCTCAATTATTCTTACTTATATGACAATATTGATCATCGAAGTATTATACAAAAATGGCACTAACCGTACAACCTTGCTACTCCGTAGAAATGTGGTAAAGGAGTTGTAAATAGGGCTATGCGTATGGTAACACGTACATAAGATATGTAACTATTTATAGCCTAAATAGTGACATTGAGCTAAAGGTCATTGCAATACAGCACGTACAGCAATAGTGAAAGTAATAGATAATCAATATAGACGTGCGATATCGATCATGAATCAATAGTACATGTACTTATACTATACATGTGTAGATATTACCGATACACAAGACGTAAACCGTGTATTGTATACCTTAGTATGGCTACATAAACACACACAATACACGAGGTCATTGAGCCAGCTGATTATAAATAGCCTGACACATGGAAAGCAGCCTTGATTACTTACTACACTTCTAGCACACCGTGCCTGGCACATTACAATAACATCATAGAATAGTAGCTCTTACCAGGAATTTTACCTCTCTACAATATCACATATCCTCCATAGCGTCTGTAAAAATGGCGACATAAACAAATAATTAATATGTATGAGCTCCTTAGCTAGTCATTGGAGCAATTTTGGTGAATGGCGCTCATGGCGAGTATTGTATAAAGTGGTCGTCTCGGGAGGTTATTTTCAGCATTTCTTCTGTATTGCCCCAGATGGGTGGAGAGGGTTAAGCTAAATACAGCTACAAATCTATTAAAGGCCAGTAGAGCCGTAACTACAGTTATACATTTATTATACAATAACAGTACAATACAGTAACAAGAAAGTGAGAAGTGTGCTTCAACCGCGGATCGAACCCTCGATTTCCAAGATCCTAGTCCGACGCTCTACCACTGAGTTAAAGGGAAATTCCTTCTAGCTTGAAGCTAGAAGGCGACCGTAATCTTATGTTCAATTAAAATCTGCCACAATATCATATATAAAAGTCAAAAGAGAATCTTACGTATAAAGAGACACGTTTATAAATGTATCCTAATCCAAAGATCCTTTTAAAAGGAAGGGTTCAAACGATGTATTTGTAGAAATGATAACCCATGACGTAGCAAGGATGGGACAGGGGTGTTTGGATGTTGTATTTGAAAAACCATTTTCTAGGAGAGTGTTCAATGTAAGACCCACAGCTGGAATGTCCAGTCCTCAACAATGATGACGATATGCCGGAGCATCTCGTCAACTGTTGCTAAGTAAACTGTCCGGGACTCCCCGCTATGATTTTTTGCACCTCCGCAACCTTGGGAACGATTTTTGACACACGTTTAGTTGATATTTATAAGGTAATTTTACATCTTATAACAATTCTGGTGGTAATGTGGTAGATGATGTTGCGATGGATACAGGTCCTCTATAACCTGGGTGGCGGTTCGGGCCAAAACGATATACAATAACGCGTTAAAAAGTAATGCGTTAGAACCGACTTTTAACGCGTTAAACTGACTTTTAACGCATTCGAAGTGCATTTAACGCGTTTAAGGTCACTACAAGCGCGTTGCTTTTGCAAAAGTAACGCGTTAGAATGTGTTAAAATACACATCTAACGCGTTAGAATCGTTAATACATTGGCCAATCAGAGGTGTTGTTTCAAAGAATGTTACAAAGATACAATGTAGCTATATTTAGATGAAGGGGATTCGGATGACGTGTACAGGTAGAATCGCTAATCCTTTCGCATGTTTAGGTCCATTAGCATATAATTCTGATTAATCTTTCTTTGTGTATCGCGATAATTACACTATATACAGGCAGCTTGCAGCTCCATCAATTTTTTTAAGCAGTCTCATATAACATTCTAGTCCGAATTATTCTGACGTTTTATCAACTTTTTTCATATCGGTCTGTCGTCGATTAACGTCAGAACTCCGGCCCTCTATAATATGCGGGAAATATGCAACCCGCGCCCGGAGCGCACTTCAAACTGATATTTTAGAAACAAATCGTCACTTTCACACACATGTTGCACATGGATCGAAAGATCTATTCTTTATGCACAAGATGAACAAACATAACATGCCTCAAACAACTAATACAATCACTAAAAACACATTTTTTCAAACTTACTCTGTTTTACGCTAGTTTTTTGATAGCCCCGCCTTCCAATGCCACGTGACTAAAATCTCGCCGGCCTACGTCATAACTTGGGAAAATACCTTCGGTAACGCGAGATCTCGTCAAGTCATGTGACATTTCTCATGGCCTAATTTCTATAAAAAACATGGGTTGGTATAGAAAACGTTGGAAAATATTTTTCGTAATGATCTTTGAAACATGTTATTGAAACCACCTAGTGCATAAAGAATAGATCTTTCGATCCATGTGCGACATGTGTGTGAAAGTGACGATTTGTTTCTAAAATATCAGTTTGAAGTGCGCTCCGGGCGCGGGTCGCATATTTCCCGCATATTATAGAGGGCCGGAGTTCTGACGTTAATCGACGACAGACCGATATGAAAAAAGTCGATAAAACGTCAGAATAATTCGGACTAATAACATTCATGAGAGGGCAACGTTGTCTTAGATTACAGAATGTCTTAATTGTTGATAATGTTCTGTCACTTCATCATACATGTAGCTCAATATTAATGTCACATTTAAATACATTTTAAAAATTAACACATTGGTATTGAAACGAACTGTACGCGCATAATGTCCGCGCATGCGACAACTTCATAAATAATATCACCCTGGCGGTGAAACGAACCGTGCGCGCTTCATTTTGCTCATGTAACATTTTTAGGAATTTTACCTTATATCTTTGTAAAATGAAAGATAACATTAAAACAATTCACATGTTTCTCATTCAGATTTCGAGAATTTTACATAAGGTATAATAATATAAATCCTATTACATTGGGTGGCATGATGCCTATTTAAGTGTTTGTGTACGAAAAATGTACCTATTTCTTGAAAATTATACATGTTTGTATGGCCATTGTCCTTATAATTTGCATGCGGCTGTCTTGCGGTGAGGCTCGAATCGCTACATGGAGCGATCGAATAATGGAAACACAGCTTTACAGTATCCTACTTTCCTTCAAGATCATGAAGATGGGGCATTACATGTATGGTAGAGTGAGTGAATTAGTGTTTGACATCGATCAACAGCTAAGGTCATGTATAGAGGAGGAAAAGTGTGAAAAAAGAGAAAGAACAAAAAGGAAAAAAAGACAAGAGAAAGGACAGAAGCGAAATCTACACTATAAACATAGGACTCTGAGGATTAACCACGGCCCGACCATTCCAGAGAAATGCACAAAGAGCTGGCCCGAAGGCGGACACCTATGTAACAACCCTCCAGGAAGGAAACCACAACGGTACAAACCTATCATTTGCATCCCGGCCAAAGGACGGAGCTGCTTGGTCTGACATCTACCTTTCAACCTGTCTGGCTTGGGTGACCCTACTAAGAGCACAAAGTCCCAGTCAGTATAGCTATCCATGTCATTGAGGTACTCAATCCCACCACCACGGAATGGTGCAATGACTAGGGGGAACATGTATGGTAGAATTTGGCTTTTAACCATACATCTGATATAACATCTGTCTTAAAAATTGATTTTGTTCAGCCGCCATATTCGCAATAAAATTCCATCAGAGTCTGCAAAACTGTTGGCGGTTTTATCAAAAGCATCAACTATGAAACGATTTCTCTGATTGGCCAGTGCATTTACCATTCTAATGCGTTCGAAGTGACCTTTAACGCGTTAAAAGTTAGTTCCAACGCGTTAAAAGTAACTTCTAACGCGTAACGTTTTAACGCGTTACTGTATATCGTTTTTTTGCTCGAGCCACAACCCATGCATCAAAATCTTCTGTTCAATACTTTAATGAAAATATTCCCAAACCATTTATTACACAATCCACAATCAGTAACAAATCTGTTTTTTGACTGCAGAGAGCCAGCCCTCGTTAAATTTCATAACATTTTTTTTATGTATGATTTACAATGAATTGTTGAAAGATAAGTCATAAGAGAGGTTAAATAACAATATATGTACGTGTTTAGCAACAATATGTGTACGTGTTTAGCAACAATATGTGTACGTGTAGCTGGGGTATCCACTATTTTTTCTGTGTATGACGTCATCGGTTTACGCGTTCGGGTATCTGCTTTTTGCCAACGTGTAGACAGTTCAATGCCGTGTTTATTTCTGAGAACAACATTGATCAAACTTATTATGAATATGCCGATCAATGTTTTATAATTATAGACATTCGATATGAATGATATATATATCAGAAAAAAAACTTCTTCTGAAAATGCCGAGGCTCCTCCGGTCTCTAAAACAAAGCGGTCGACATCAAGCTAAGTGATCGAGAAGTAATTTATTTTCTGGTACAATTATGTACGTTTTCTTAATCAGTGTGAAAGTATCTTATAATGTCTGCACTTTTTGAAAAAAATCACTAGACACTTACACAGTTAACAGTCATAACATGGGGGCTTCCGGTTCCGGCACGAAGATGGCTAGTTGGTTCTCACATCACGGTTAACAAAAATTCATGTTGGAATGTCCGGGGTAGAAAAAAAAGGAACAAAAAGGAAACTGAAGACCATCCTAACCAAATCTCAAACTATTTCCTATGCAGCAAATCAACAAGCGAGTTCGAAACTACCAGCAAAGTGGCGGGTAAAGCATTGGAAGAGCAGCACGTGCCGAAATTCCACTCAAAGATGGCGACAGGTGTTAATGTCAGTACAGAAGCCATAGAGGATTTGAAGGACTTAAAATTGAAGTCAACGGATAGCCTGGCCAAAACATAGACAGCATTACATCTTCAGTCAAAAATGTGGAAAAAAAGATTATCGACATGGAAAATAAACTCGTGTCTTTCAACGGAAAACTCACGGTACTCACTCGGGAAAACGATGACTTAAAAAAAGTGTGGAGTTTGTCAGTGGTCAGGTAGATGAACTGCAGGAGGAAAAAGACAAAGTTGCAGGAAATACAACCTTCTGATTTACGGGGTTCAGGAACAGACTAGAGAAGACACAGAACCCGTGACAAGAAAGTTTATGAAGGAAAATCTCAAAATGGCGGACGAGGAGGCCAGAATTCTCTTGGCGAACACGCACCGTTTACCTAAGTTTTCATCTTTCAGTGATGACATGCAGCGCCCCAAGGCTATTATTGTTAAGTTTGTGAGACTAAAAGATCGGGATAGAGTTCTCGAGGCAGCAAAACATCTTGAGAGGGGCTGTAGAATAACAGTGAGAACGGACTTACCAACGGAGCTGAAAAAGAAACGGTCAAATTTGGCGAAGATAGCGTATAACTTAAGAAGAGAAGGAAATTCAACAAGGATCAAGGAAACGATGTCTGACGTGTGGCTGGAACTCAAGCAAAACAAAAACGCGTCGTGGCAGAAGTACATGCTCAAATTGTGATGTTACAGATCGTGTGACGTGTCCATTATCCAGTGAACTCTAAATCTTTTATTTGGGGCTATAGCAAATCCTAAGGACTAACTCGTTTACTTCAATGCAATATAGGTAATATGTGTCTCAAAATGTGATGATACAGATCGTGTGACGTGTCCATTTTCCAGTGAACTCTAAATCTTTATT